GCCTTCTCGCCCTTTCGCTTCTGATGAGCTTTGGGGGCTTCATAATGGCTCCAATCTGGCCCAAGAGAGTTCCAAGAGGGGCCCATGAAGGCCCCAAGACGGCCCGAAGAGTGCCCAAGAGCGCCCCGAGAGGCGACTAGTCAGGCTCCAGGGCAACGCTTTTAGGGTACCCCCTCTTCGCTCCAAGCCCGAATCATTCAAAAGCGTGCGGTTATTCAAAGATTTTGGCATCTCGGGGACATCTTTGGGAGGATTTTGGGCAAACATGACTTCAAGATGGCATCAGCGAGCCCAAGGTGACCACCGAGCCGGCTCAAGGTATCCCAAGATGGCATCCACGATGCCTCCAAGAGGCCCTAAGACCCCGCAAGATGGCTCCGAGTGGCCACGGAGCCCCCAAAGGCTGCTCACAAGATGCCAAAACCATTCCGAAACCAAGGGAAACGCACATGACGTTTGCATTCTCGGCTGTTCGCTTCTCTTCTGCCTCTGAGGCCTCAAGACGGCCCCAATATGGTCCAAGAGTAGCCCAAGACAGCCCAAGAGGCCTCCAAGAGGCCCGCAAGATGTAATTATGAAATTGCTCTGCCTCATGGGGGCGGGCGGGGGGGGGGGCGCATTCAGCGCCCCCCGCCGTTCAGCCATGGGGCCCGAGGTCGCCCCTAGAAGGCCCGTAGACAGGAGAAGGGATGAGGGGATGGGGAGAAAGAGGAGAACGAGATGGATTAGCCTTAGGAGTAAAGGACCTGCACGACTCGGGGGAGAGACGAACATGTGATTACTTGCGTAGTGGGCGTGGCGATTGACTGCGCCCGCCGACATCGATAGGCTCCACTGCCATCGCTGCGACCACGCGCGACTATGCTGTCTCCTCGGCACCTTGCCTCCTCTCGCCCTCCGCCTGCGCGTTGGTCATTGGGCCGTGACCCGGCCCTGAGGGAGTATTCAATTGGGACGATGCTGGCCCAGATCGGAGACCTGCCGCCGAGGCGCGGCTGCCTGGAATTAACCCGCGGTGCCCTGCTCTCCGATCCAATAAAGAAGTTAGCCCCCGCTCTCGGGGACCCCGCCACGAACCCATGACAAACTTGCCGCCAGAAGGAGCGCATGAAGGAGCGTCGTCTTTAGCACGCAAGGGTGCGTATGACGATTTGTCCTCTGGTCCAGGCAACTTTTCTCCTGGACTCCCGTTTGAAAGCGCTGCTTGTAGCCCCTTCGCTATCCGAGTGAAGGAGGCGCATCAGCGTGGGGGCTGCTCCTCCTCCTGATCCAGAGCTGTCGTCCTTCACCTGCTCCCGTGTCACACTCCTGCTGCTCGTCTACCTCCCAGTCCTCGTCGCCGTAGTCCCCTTCATTCCCCTCATCATTCTGGCGATGCGAAGGGGTTGGAAGGCACCGACTATGCACCAACACCCTACACTGATCTGCGCCAAGCCGCTCCTGGGTGAGGGGGGACGATGGGGGGGCGGCTCAGGGGGGACACATCGACCTGGAATCGGCGATACGTCGCCGATAGATCGGCGATAGGTTCTCGACAGCGGCGAGACTGAATGTTCTTGGGCAGGGGAAGTTATCGGGCCACATATCGGCGATGAAAGGGCGATTGAGTGTCGCTGCGTTCCCCTCTGAGCCTGTCCCGCGGGTTTTGACTCGGATCTCTGGCGGCCGGTCGGGGCGATCTGGGCACCCCTGGGACACTCTCGGTGAGGCGCGCCTGCCGGAGAGCACCCGGAGGCTGGAAAACCGCCGAGAACTGGGGAGCATCTCCTGCAGGCTGCCCTCGCAGGAGCGCTGGGCAGAGGTACGAAGCCTGCTGCTGGGCTGGGCTTCTGGGGAAGCGCACGGGGCGGGCAAGAGCCCCAAGGCCCAAGGCCCCAGCCCAACAGGGCAGCCTGCAAAAACAGGAAGCTTCCATTCCGAACCGCACTCGCGGCACACAGGGTGGCAGAGGGTGGGTTGCGGCGCCAGCTCTCCCATTATGTGGGAATCTCGGCGCTGCTTGCGCCACGTCGCGACGCTGCCAATCTCCCGTCCTGCGGGAAACTCGGTGTTCTTCGTCCCGCTGTGAAAGACTCTCCCGTCTTGTGAGAACTCTCTTTCTGTCTTGCGGCGCGCTGCGGGGTTTAATGTCTCGCTGCAGCGCCCTGCCGAGAAGCCGAGAAGAGATTCGCACCCGCGGCGAAGGGAAAACGCTTTCTGTCTACCATCCAGCCACTAATCAGCCACCCGCCAGGGAGGGGAAGGCGGAGGCGAGCGGGCGGTAAGACCGCTCGGGCGTGTGAGTCGTAGTCCCCTGGTGGAGGCAACCAGTCGTTGGGGGTTGCGCGAGCAAGCTACAGCGCCCCACAGCGCCTCGACCAAGGACCGCAACAGAGGCCAAGAAGCCAGAAGGCGAAGAGACATCCAGTCGGCACCAGTCACCTTGGAAGATTTTCCTGCCCCCCAAACCGCTGCGCGATTCAGGGGCGATGAACATGCCAGACGGGCGCCCCTAGAACACTCTCGGTGAGGCGCGACTGTTGGAGAGCACCCCGAGGGTAGAAAACCGCCAGGAACCGGCGAAAATGTCCCAAAGCCTTGAAACTCGACGTTGCCCCTCCCGCGGCCAGCGGCTACGAAGACTACGCCATCCTGTTGCCGTTGTGTGCGTCACGGTTCTTTGCAAACGCCAACGGGCCTCGCATAGACCAAAAACCATCAACGGGCTTTGTAGGCCTGTCCTTTTTCTTCCAATTGCTCCGAGGACATCCGTCACCCTGTTGCAATCATTGAGCATGGACCGACCGTCCCAGCACTCCCATAAGCCTGCCACAATTTGTTCCTAGAACGAAAGATTGTTCTAAGAACAGCAGAGGTGTCCTTACACTATAGGACAGACTTGTGATAACTGAACAAGATCAAGCAGAAACGTTCTATCATTTCGCGCGAACCACGAGAGGTTCTTCGAACATTCTGTGGTGGGCCTATAGGCAAGCCAGGACGTCTCGTCACTGCGTGAAATCCAACTCGCCGACGTTGCCCCTGACCAGGCCCAAGCTCGGTGCAAGTGCATCGCCGTGCGCAACCGGTTTGGGGGCTCGGGTGGCCCGGCCCGCCGGCCGGGCGCCCCGCCGGCCGCGTGCACCTGGGGGCGGCTCCGAGTTGGTGGCCACCATCGCCGGATCTCTGAAGCTGTTCCTAGCGAGGTCCTCTCCAGCGGGGGGATGCGCTGATGACAATGATGATAACGGTGGTGATAACAATCACGATGGCGTTTCGAACGATGATGATGCTGTTGGTAAATATGATGATGACACTGATGATTATGATGATGATGATGATGATGGTGATGATGATCATGCTGCTGCTGATGATGATTAGGATACGGATGCGCATGCTTCTTGGGATGATGATGATAATGATGCTGATGATGATGATGGTACTGATGATGAGGATGATGGTGGGGCCGATGCCGATGATAATGCGGCTAGGATGGAAACGACGACGACGCGAATGATGATTACAACGAGGTTGGTGATAATCACAATGACGATGATGACGACTGTGACAATGAAGATGATGATGTTGTTGATGATGACGATGGTGGTGGTAGCGATTATGAAGAGGATAACAGTAGTAATTATGATAATGATGATGATGATGAGGATAGTGGTGATAACGATTACGATGCCCATGGCAATGATGATGCTGCTGATGATGGTGGTGATGATGATTACTATAACGGTGACGATGCTGATGATGATGATGATGAGAAGAAGGATGGTGTTGCTGCTGGTGGTGATGATGATGGCGACAACGCTGACGATGACGATGACGGCGACGATGATGATGACCATGACGGTGGTGATGCTGACGACGATGATGATGCTGCTGATGATCTCTCTCTCCTACCCGATGAGACTCCCTGCCCGCCTCTGCTGACAACAAGCTGCACTGCCAAGCAAACTGGAATCACGGTCGCGAGGCTTCTGAAATGCGAAGGCCCCCCCATTTCGGCGGGGGGAGCCCTCTGCGCACTCCTGAGTGACAATGTGAGACGAGATATCACGGGTCACGAAGCACTGGCCCCAATACTGGCGCAGGGGCGGCAATAGAAGCAAGAGGGCCCCCACCGCCCACGGTCCAGCAGGGCACACCGCGACACCCGAGTGTCGCCCACTGCTGCAAAACTCCAGTAAACGTGATTAGATACCTCGGAGCACTCTCGCATTGCTACTACTCCCGTTCGAATTCGAAACTGGCGGTGCTGCCGAAAGGCCTCTCAGATTAGAACGCTGGGCCTCAGAACATCCCTCAGCGTGTCGTATTCCCAAAGATACTGATAAGTACGAGCCTCCACGAAGTCGACTCTGCACACTGTCACTCTGCTCCTGGCCAGTTTTTTCGCCACCTGAAGGTCGGTACTCCCTGCCCACGCCCGAAGGCGCAGGTGGGCGGTGCGTGCCGACAGGGGCGCCTGAAGGTCGGTACTCTCTGCCCACGCCAGAAAGCGCGGGTGAGCAGTGCGTGCCGACAGGAGAGCCACGCCCATTCACTGCGTCAGCTCCCGGAACTCGCCTATCTTCACGAGGCCTGCCACGACTTTGCGGACGTTTGGGTTGCGAGGCGGGGCCCCGCGTTTGATCTCCACCCCAGGCTTGAGCGCGATCGCCGCCATGATCTCGTTCGTGACCGCGCGCAGCTCTGGGATGACCATGGGCTCGATCTTGAAACGATCTGTGTCTCCCCACGCCTTCTGCCGATACGCCTTCTTCTGGTAGCACGTCAGGACGTGGCCGCGAATCCTGCTGCTGATGATGGTGATGATGATAACGATGACGATGACGAAGATGATGCTGATGGTCTGATGATCTCATTCCTGGCTACGTTATGCCATCACTGGCTTTGCCCACACGTCAGGGCCGTCAGACCACTGAGGCCCAGCATGGGCCAAGTGGGACCAAACAAGGAGGTCAAGGAATGCATGCCGCGGGAGATGAGAAGAAGACTCGCCCAAACCGCTAAGACACGTTCTCCACGCCCATGCAATCTTCTTTGGTGGTTTGCGCGTGCTGGGGGAACGGCAAGCTGCTGCTGCACTGTGAAATGCCACACGCGATGCTAATCACTGAGAGCGCCGCTTCCAACTCGGCGTGCATGGCCGTGGTCCCTGGGGTGTGCTGGCAACTCTGCTTCCGAATCTGCAGATGCACCCGTGCTCGTCAAGACGTCGAGGAAACGCCCAGCTGCCGCCCTGTCGCCTCGCCGCGCTCCATCAAGAGACCCCCTGACGCCTCGCCGCGTTCCATCAAAGACCCCCATCTGCAAGCTCAGCAGTGAGCAGGCGGCGACGATGAGGGCGAATAGTCCAGGGGCGGGCACCACTTGTATTCGCTGGGGGGCCTCGCCGCAGACATGGATTATCGGTGCGCCTGGATACGTGCATCGCTCCCCCCTGGACATTTCGCCCCTACCGTCGCCTCCGAAATGAGCGGCGCCGTGGCGGAATGGTGTCGGCGAGCTGCTGGTGCTCGGCCCGCCGCCGCGTCTGCCAGACAGCCAGCCTCCCAGAGTACATGCCTGCACGCCTGAGCCAGGTTCGATCCCTCCCATGCCAACCACATGGCGTAGCCAGAGACGGCCTGGGAGAGGGCGCCAACGTCAGTATCAACGAAACGTTCGTGGTGTTTTGTTCTGGAAGCTGCGGCCACGTTGAACCAAGTCGCCCCTACTTGGCTGTCGCCCTTGATGTTGAAGTTCGCCAGGGAATCTTCGGATCGCAGGTGCGGAGGGGATGAAGGTGATGATGACGGTGATGATGATGCTGCTGATGGTGATGATAAGGAGGAGGATGACGACGATGCTGATGATGACGCTGACGGTGATGGTAATGATAGTGAGGAGCAGGAATACGACGAGAGGCAGTAGCAATGAGGAGTGCGCCTGGGCCCACGACCTGGAGCGGAGACCCGCTCGCGAGGACGAGCCGACAGTGAACCTTTCAGACCACCAAGCCCATGGCTGAGCAGCCAATGAAGAGCGGGGGGCCGCCCCCCCCCCCTTCCTCCCTTCCTTCGCCTCTGGCGGATGGTTTTTGCATGCGGGCGCTTCTCCTCGACTTCGGCGGCCTCCAAGATAATTGCTTCGTTCTCGGGGCCATCCACAACGGATCCCGAGCGAAACACTGCCCTCCAGGCAAGGGGTCGCCACCCATGGGGCCCGTGGGTTTTTAAAGAAACAACCCTTCGGAAGTCTGGGTCTCAAGGGATGTGGGGGGACGAGCGCCCCTTCCAGCTCGTGTTTTTTGTTATTATTATTATTTTTCTTTTTTTTTTTTCCTCTCTCTCTCTCGCTTAGGGAAGATTGGGGGCCACCGCCCACTCATTCCGGTCCTTGATTGTCACTCTCTCTCTCTCTCTCTCGATGGGGGGCTCGGGGGAAAACTCCGATTCGGCCCTCCCCCCCTTCTCCTCTGCGGCTTTGTGCGGATGACCCGTGTATCCATTGGATCGCGCATCGGGATCCAGACCGCGAGCGCATGTATATAGATGCGCAGCACACCGCAGTTGCGGATCAGAGTGAGGGGGCGGCGGGGACGTCGGCAGTCTGCGAGACACCGAAAAAGGCCCGCCGCAAGCGCCAAATTTTCACAAATTCTGCAACGAGCCCGCCGCTGGCGCCGATTTTATCGTTAAAGCAATGTGAGTGGGACGCGAATGTGTCGCGGGCCTGGTCGCGGGTGGGACGACGACAATAAACAACTAACAACACAAAGATGACAATCCGCACCGCGGAGCGTCACTTCAGCCACGCGCCCAGGAACAATGAATGACCGTTCGACCTCTCACTCTGACCAAGCCCCCGCATTTACGGATAAGAGGGGGCGCCCGGGGGGGCCTAGCGGGGGCTGCGGGGCCCGAGCGCAAAGTTAAAGAAGCCCGTCGCAGGCGCCAACGTTTCCGAAACAATTCGCCCGTCGCAGGCACCGATTTTGCGGGAAACAATGTGCGTCGCGGGCCGGGGCGTCGGCGGGCCGCGAGGCTCGGAAGCCCATGCAAAGAAGCCCACCCCAGACGCCGACGGTTGTCGTTATCAACACACCCATCCCGCCGCAAGCGGCGATGTTGTTTTCAATTCCATGTGGATGGGTCGAGGTCGTGGGTCACGGGCGTGGGTCGCGGGAGGGTCGCGGGTGTGTCGGGGGTGGGTCGCGGGGCGGCCTGCAGGGGCGACAACGACAACACCAGCAATCCTTGAAAGACTGATCGCTCTTCGTTTCGGTCGCCATTCATCATGTGTACACCTAAAACCCTCGATTCCCGCCCTCTTTGACTTCGATCGTACCCCCTTTTGAGGGGCATATGTTTCTCGACTGCCTCGTGTAAGTGGTTGGCGCGGGCCCATGGAACAGGAAGAGGAGGAAGAAGAGGGAGAGAGCGAGGAAGGAAGGGGTGAGGAAACGACTTGGGGGGCGAGGTAGAGGAAGGGAGGAAGATTGGGGCGGCGCCAGAATCGCCGCCAGGGTGAAGGGCCCCATGCCGATCCAAGAAAACCGGGAGGCCTCCGAAAGTTTATGTTTATGTAACTTTGCTCTTCGAGGGTATGGTTGCCAGCGTGGACCCCGAGCAGTATTCTGTGGCTCTGTGGATGTGAAAGCTGCGTGGATGTGAGCCGGAACCTAGCGCATCCCCAGGGCACCCCAACAGGCGACGACGGGGCGGCAACGAGCCCAGAGGTGGTGAATCCTTGGGACTCCCATCCAGTCCCTTCGGAATGCGTGCAGGAACCCCTAAGTGTAGGACTGTTTGGGGAATGAGCGAAGTCCCACAAGCCTTCACACTCGAACCTCTTCGACGGGAGCCCCTTCCCAGACGCGCGTACGGCGGAGCGCTGCGCCTCGCTCGACCCGTCAGGCGTCGAGCCTCGCTCGACGAAGGGGCGCGGAGCGAGGCGCTGCTGAAAGGCAACGTGCTTCAATCGGCGTTGGCGACGTGCTCCACTCGACGCTGGAAATCGAAGATATCTACCGCCTGGGGAACCGACGTCCTGGGACCCAGTGGGCGGTGGATGTGGGGATAGTTTGGCCCCAGGAGGCCTGGATCTATCCACGTCCAGCGCCTGCGGAGGTCGCCGAAGATCGACCCCCTGCATGCGGCGATGATAGATAAATCCCCGCCTCGGAAGACATCGAGCCCCGCTCGGATGTTGAACAACGAACCTCGCTCGACGTTGAAAATCGAAGATCGCGTTGAGCGAGGCGCTGTCGCACGCGGCGAGGCGCTGCCGCGCGGCGACGTGCCTCGATCGACGTTGGACATCGAACCTCGCTCGACGTTGGACATCGAGACAATCGCGGACCGAGGCGCTGCCGCGCCTGCGTGCCAGCGCGCGCGCGCGGGGGGGCTCCTGGAAGCCCGCGGCGGATGCCGTCCGCGCGACCTGGGCGTCCTGGAACCCTGCGCCCAGCGGCCGCGCCGGGGGCTCACGAAAGCCTTTGGGAGGGGCAACCGTAGGGTGGGAACATCGAGCTGGAATCGACGATGAGTCGCCGCACGCTCCTGGGCGAGGTGAGCTATCAGGCCTCTCTCGGCGATGCATGGGCGATTGGCCCCCCCGCCTTGAAGCCTATGTATCCCCCCCTGACGTTGCCCTCCGAGCCTTCCCGGAAGCCCGCGTTCAGGGCCCGCCCGAACTCCACGTAGCGCGGCTGCGGGGGCTCCATCGGCGACCCAGGGGCCTGCGGTGGTGGCGACAGGCGCGGCGGCGGGGAGGATCAACAAGAGGGCCGCCGCCGTGCCGCCCTCGCCACCGCTCGCCGATGTGGGAGCGCCCGGGGGCCTCTGGAGGTGTTCCGCCACCTCTGCAGGCAACACGGCGGCGGCAGCGGCACCGGCGGGACAGGGAGCAGAGAGGCAGGAGGTACCTGCGGGGCTTGCGGCAGGGCGCAACGGGGCGCGGTTGCCGCGCAGGCACGAGCAACTGCAGAATCATCGCTGGGCGGCGCCGCTTCGGCGGCGTCATGTGCCAACACGCGGGCGTTGCGCGCGTCCTCGACGAGGTTGTTCGGCCCGGTCTACCAGGAAGCTGGAACTAGGTGTCTGCATTCATAGGCGGAGGGCCAGCGTGCCCGGCCGCGCGATGGCCGAGAGCAGGGGAGGCTTGGGCCGGCCACGTCATGAGTGTCTGGCTTGGGCCGGCCACGTCATGACTGGCCAGGTTCCTGGCATCTTCGCTGTAGAAGTGAAACTGGCCATGCATGCGGCCCACACCCCTCGACGATGTCAACGTGGGCCCCAGAGATCTCGATCCCGTTCCCAGGTCCGAACTGTTCATCCTGATTCGTTGTCCGACGGTCCCGGGCCCCGGGAAGACCCTGAGGGAACAACCTCCAGGACCCTTCTCACCTAGAACCTCTTTTCTTCACGGCGACCCTCACAAATCGGCCACAAGACGTCTCCATTGGCTGCGTTCTGGCCAGAATGTCGAGGCGGATTCAGCCGCGGTAGCGAAAAGCCTCCCGGATGCCTCGAAAGGGAGGGAGCCTGAGATAGAGCTACGAACACCGACCTTTCTGTGGAAATGATAAGGAAGAAGATGCAAACAGGGCGCCCCCATGTTGGCGCCGGTGCTGATCTGTTTCCCTCCTCGCGCGGGGGTAGGCTCGAAGTATACACCAAGTCGTCCGTCCAGTTGGCCAAGGAGCTCAATGTATAGACGTCACAGCTTTCCAAAGCTGCGGGGCGCTGGGTCATCCATTCGTCGAAATTCTTGGTTCCTCGGCCGCCCAAACCGCAGGGTGCATACTTTGAGCCCCTCCGAGGGCCCCTTCGGGGCCCTCCCAAAAGGATCAAGGAGGGAGGATTTGCATGAAGGAGACGGGTCACCTCCGTGGCCCAGCCCTCCCCTGAAGCCAGACCCCGTTCCCCTCAGGACCCGCTTTCCTCAGGACCCGCTTGCATCGTGGCGAGGGCAGGAGGAGGAGCAGGAGAAGGAGGAGCAGGAGGAGGAGGAGGAGGATCGGATTAGAGTAGACTGGGTAGGGTTGGATTGGAGCTCCTGGAAACCTGTGCTTCAACAACTGCTACGCTACACGGTGCAACTGCAACTGATCAAATCATCTGCTACACAAACGTTGCTTCTCTGTGGGCAGAGAACATCACTGGTGGGAGGAGGACAAGGAGGAAGAGGAGGAGGAAGAGAAGGAGGAGGAGGAGGAGGAGGAGGAGGAGGAGGAAGGAGCGAACCGAGGAAGGAGCGAACCGATGAGGAGGAGGGAAGAGGAAGAGGGAGGGAGGAGGAGGAGGAGGTGGAAACGAACCAGCAATACACAAAAAAAACCTAAGCCTCGACCCTTCCCCACGGGAGGGTCAGACATGCGATGCCCAATGTCCGGGTTCATCTAAGAAGTCCCCGTAAGCCGTAAGGCACGCTACGTATATAAACAATCTCCAATGTTCAGGTTTATCGAACAGTCCCCGTTCCTAGACATGCGACGTCTTGATTTGTTTAATGGGGGGGTCACTCTCCCGAGGGCTGGTTTTTCATCCCGACTCGTTGTTTGCCTGTCCAGGGATCAGGCGAGAGCCCCCACGGGCCGAAAACTGTCAAAAACCTCCCGTCGTGATTCTTGCACGACGCGAACATGTCTGGACATGATTTGATTCAACGCGTGACCCTGGAGGTCCCAACACCTTCCCTGGGTAACATTCTTTATCCGGATCCGTTTCTGATGGTCCCGGGCCCAATAACAACACCCCGAAACCGAAATCGACGAAAAACACCGGGATGAACAAATCAGACCGTCAGAAATCTTGTGGGCGGGCTGGGGCCGTCCCGCCTGGTGGGCGCCCGCCGCCGCGTGCCTGCTGAAGTCGGGCCGGCCATGGGCGTCTCGGGGCACCGGGGCCTGCGCCTGCGGCGGCGGCCTGGGCGGGGTGGCGGGCGGCGTTGGGCGGCGCTCGGCAGGGGTCCTCCCCTCTCTCGTCGTCGTCGTCGTCGTCGTCGTCGTCGTCGTGGATGGTCATCATCGTCGTCGTCGTCCTCCGCCTCCTGCTCCATCTTCTCCTCCTCGTTCTCGTCCTCGTCCTTCTTGTCCTCCTCCTTCTCCTCATCTTCTATCTTGCTTTGAGCAAACGTGGCGCGCGAAGCACGTCGCGCTCTGGGAAAAAGTGCATATAAAAAACCGAACTGGCGAAGAGGCACGGGAAGTCGAACTGGCAGGTGCCGCAGACAATGCAAGTTAAATAGTGCGGCGAGTGAAGATGATGGTGGTCTGAAGAGGATCTGCTGGCCACCAGGGCGTGGTAGGCAAATGCCTCGTGTGAAGCGTATGAAGTTGGAGTGTCGGCTCACTGGTCGCATGTGTGAGTTGGGGTGTACCTCGGTGATCGGTATTGGGGACAGGTGTCCTATATTTGCGGCCGCATGGGGTTGCCAGGTGTAGGTGCGAGGATATCGAAGTGCGTGGGAGGCAGGCGTGGGTGCTGTGGGAGTTATGAGAAATGGTCACGTGCTGAGCTTGTCCATGCATTCAGTAAGTCGATGGCATATGTTCTGGCGTCTTGTAAACCCGTGTAGTCAGGCTTTGCGTATGTGGAGGGCGGTGTTATGTGGCGGTGGGTCTTGTCCACGATGCATGTGGCCCAGGGAGGGTGTAGTGTGGCTGCTCCTGCTGTACGTGGTACATCAGCAAGAAGGTTGGTGAGTGAATGTAGCTCGGAATCTTCTCAACTTCTGTTTGCGCGTGCGATTCTCCGCGCGTGCGCTTGACGCCATGGCGGAGCGCCTGGCCGCGACGACCGAAAAGTGTGTTTGTGTGTGTTTCTGTGCGTGTGTTTGTGCGTTTGCGTGTTTGTGTGTGTGTGTTTGTGTGCTTGTGCGTGTGCTTGTGTGTTTGTGTGTTTGTGTGTAACGGTCTGTGTGTGTGCTTGAGCCCCTTAGAGGGGCGGTCAACCGACCCCGAAGGCCGCAAGGGCAAACTGTGTGTGTGTGTGCGTGTCGCTACCTCTCTTTTGAACCCTTGCCTACCTGACTTTCGGTGGGGTTCGGCCAATACTTCTACACCTGCATGACCGTTCCAGCATCTTCCACGAACGCACGTTGCCAAGCGTTTTTCTGCAAGCGACTGCTTCCACCCAATCCCCTCATCTGCTAAGCCAACTGGAAATTAGCCTACACGCGTCCCGGCCTAGCGTTTCGCGACAGTGTGTATGTGTGCGTGTGTGCGTGTGTGTGTGTGTGGTGTGTGTGCGTGTCGTGCCCTTGCTTGTTTTCTTCAGTTCGCCTCTTGCGCATCGAACCCACCATGCTGTCATTTTGTTGGGACAAGTCCCTGCGCTTTTGCGTCTCCCCCGAACCGAGGCACGGGTAGGTGCCATCCAGGGGTCCTCCACTCCTTCCCACTCTCATCGCCGCCCAAGGTGGCCTCGATTCGAGAAATCCGCGCGGAGCTCTTGAAGTTAATTGTTTATGCCGCGGCGAAGGAGGGGCGGGGGAGGACTAGTGAGCAGGAACGGGGGGATGAGGATGAGGCCAGGAGAGGGGGGGGGGCAGTAGGAGGATGAGGCCCGGCCGCTGCCAAAGCGACTGTTTCACGCGAGCTCTTTTCAAAGCAAGCCCTGGCACGCCAGCGGGAGCTGCATCCTCCCGCAGCCGCAGCAGACTAGCTTCCCCCTGCGATCGCAGCCGGCATTCTCCAGTCGGCAATCCCCCGAACAGTGCTTGCACTTAGGGCTTCATACATGCGTGAAAAGAACTTGGGGGATGAGTCCGCCGAGGTCTCGTCTCGTGTCCGCCCGTTGCCGCCTCGTGCGTTGGGTGGGTCCGGCGAGGTTCCGACAGGCCGCCACGTTGGCGCCCGTTGCCGCCTCGTCGCCACCTCGTGCGCTGGGTGGGTCCAGCGCGTTTTCGACACGCTGCCGCACGACGTCTCTTCGTTGCTACCTCGTGCGCTGGGTGGGTCCAGCGAGGTTTCGCAACGTTGCCGCCACGTTGCTTCCTGGTTGCAGCTGCGTTGCCGCCTCGCGCGCTGGGCGGGTTGGGCAGGGTTTCGCCACGGTACCGCCCGTGGCCGCCTTGTTTCCGAATCGTGCGCTGGGTGGGTCGGGCAAGGTTTCACCCCGGTGCCGCCCGTTGCCGCCTCTTTGCCACCTCGTGCGCTGGGTGGGTCCAGCGAGTTTTGCGTCTTGTTGCCACCCGTTGCCGCCTCGTGCCACGTTGCCGCCCATTGCCGCCTCGTTGATACCTCATGAGCCGGGTCCAGCGAGATTTCGCCACGTTGCCGCCCGTTGCCTCCTCGTTGCCGCCTCACGCGCTGGGTGGATTCGCCACGTTGACGCTACATGCGCTGGGTGGGTCCGTCAGGGTTCCGCCACGTTGCCGCCCGTTGCCGCCTCGTTGCCGCCTCGTGCGCTGGGTGGGCCCAGCGAGGTGTGGCCACGCTGCCACCGCATGCGCTGGGCGAGTACGGCGGGGTTTCGTCACGTTGCTGCCCGTTGCCTCCTCGTTGCCGCCTCGTGCGCTGGGTGGGTCAGAAAGATTTTGCCACGTTGCCGCCCGCCACCTCGTTGCGGCGACGTTGCCGCCACATGCGCTGGGTGGGTTCGGCGGGGTTTCGCCAGGTTGGCGGCCGTTGCCGTCCCGTCGCCGCCTCGTGCGCTGGGTGGGTGCGTCAGGGTTTCGCCACGTTCCCGCCCGTTGTCGCCTCGTTGCCGCCACGTTGCCGACACGTGCGCTGCGCGGGTCAGGCGGGGTTTCGCCACATTGCCGCCTGTGGCGCCAGCTCGTGCGCTCCATTGCGGCCTCGTTGCCACCTCGTGCGCTTGGTGGATCCAGCGGGGTTACACTGGGTTTCACCACGTTGCCACCCTTTGCCGCCTCGTCGCCGCCTCATGCACTGGGTGGGTCAGGCGAGGTTTCGCCACGTTGCCGCCCGTTGCCGCCTCGTTGTCGCCTCGTTGCCGCCTCGTGCGCTGGGTGGGCCCAGCGCGGTTTCGCCACGTTGCCGCCTCGTTGCTGCCCCGTTGCCGCCTCGTTGCCGCCACGTGCACTGGGTCGGTCCGTCGACGTTTCGCCACCTCGCCGACTCGTGCGCTGGGTGGGCGCGGCGGGGTTTCGCCACGTTGCGCCCAGCTGCCGCCTTGCTGCCATCTCGTTCGCTGGGTGTGTCAGGGGAGGTTCCGTAACGTTGCCGCCAATTGCCGCCTCGTTGCCGCCACATTGCCGCCACGTTGTCGCAACGTGCACTGGGCGGGTCCAGCGGATTTTTCGAGACCTTGGCGCCCGTTGTCGTCTCGTTGCCGCCTCGTGCGCTGGGTGAGTCTGGCGAGGTTTTGCCACGCTGCCGTCCGTTGCCGCCTCGTTGCCGCCTCGTACGCTGGGTGGGTCGAACGGGGTTTCGCCACGTTGCCGCCTCGTTGCCGCCTCGTTGCCGCCTCGTTGCCGCATCCTGCGCTGGGTGGGTCCAGCGAAGTTTCGCCACGTTGCCGCCCGTTGCCGCCTGCCGCATGGTGCGCTGGGTGGTTTCGCCACGTTGCGGCCCGTTGCCTCCTCGTTGTCGCCTTGTTGCCGCCTCGTGCGCTGGGCCAATACGGCGGGGTTTTGTCACTTTTCCGCCCGTTGCCGCCTTGTTGTCTCCTCGTGCGCTGGTTGGGTCCAGTGGGGTTTCGCCACGTTGCCGCCTCGTTGCCGCCACGTTGCCGCCACGTTGGCGAATGTTGCCGCCTCATTGCAGCCTAGCGCGCTGGGTGGATCCGACGATGTTCCGCCCCGCTACCGCCCGTTGCCGCCTCGTTGCCGCCTTGTGCGCTGGGTGGTTCTGGCGAGGTATCGCCACGTTGCCGCCCTCTGCCTCCTCGTTGTCGCCTCGTGCGCTGGGTGGGTCTGGCGAGGTCTCGCAACGTTGCCGCCTCGTTGCCGCCACGTTGGCGCCACGTTGGCGAGCGTTGCCGCCTCATTGCCGCCTCGTGCGCTGGGTGGGTCCGACGATGTTCCGCCCCGCTGCTGCCCGTTGCCGCCTCGTTGCCGCCTCGTGACGCCGGTTCGGTCTGACTAGGTTTCGCCACGCTGCCGCCGGTTGCCGCCTCGTTGCCGCCCCGTCGATGGGTGGGTCAGGCGAGGTTTCGCCACGTTGTCGCCCGTTGCCTCCTCAATGCCGTTTTGTGTGCTGGGCGGGTCCAGAGAGCTTTCGCCACGTTGCGGCCCGTTGCCGCCTCATTGCCGCCTCGTGCGCTGGGTGGGTCCGGCGAGGTTTCGCCATGTTGCCGCCCGTTGCCGCCTCGTGCGCCTGGTGGGTCCAGCGAAGTTTCGCCTTGTTGCCACCCGTTTCTGCTTCGCTGCCACCTCTAATTTGCACCACGTAGCTTACACCGCACTGTCAACTTACATCTCAACAGTGCAATGACTTCGTGTTTGCGGTCCACGCCGGCTCATACATAAGTCTATAGATACATACATACATGGTCATCAACTGTTCCCCAGTGTGTTGCGGCGGCGTCAGCCCTGGCATCCTGCTATGCCTTGCGAGTGCGTAGCGCGTCGCTCCGCTCCGCGAGGCGGGAGATCGAGAAAGGCTCGCGACGTTGACGTCAGGAGTCTGGGACATGGATGACGTGTCGCCCGACAGCTTAGTGGGCCAGAACCGGTGGAGCGACACGCTGAACCAACGTTTCTGACAGAAACATTCGGCTGTAGATAAACGCACTTGTTAGTGGAAAAAGAGGATGGAAGGAACGGCCGCGACACATCGCAAAGATATGCAAATATGCGCGGGCCCTCCGTGGCAAGAAGCGGCTAATATAAAGGTGCGTCCCATAGTCATCCGGGTCTGGCTCGAAAGCGGCAGCCGCAGAGAAGGAGAACGAAAGAAGGAAGGACGAGGGACGCGATTCAGTTGAAGATTCTTAAATAAGAACGACTCTGAATAAGCTTCCGCGCCAATCTCTCCGTCCACCATCCTCCCCCGACTTCTCATGGACTTTTGCTTCAATCCGCCCGTGGGGGTCCCGAGATACCAACGACGGTGAAAAACTGCAGGTTTCCAGATTCCTCCAGGACCTCTTTCCTTCAGGCTGATCTCCCCCTTCTTCCTCTGAAATCAAGCTGCTACCTGATGAAACGCAACATAGGGAACGAATGCCATTTTAGGAGGGTGCGCCGCTGGATCTCCCCCAGGGGGGGGGTCCTAACCCCCCTTCCCCGATCCGTCGTCGGGGAACCCCCCCCCCTCCCCCCCTTCCCCGATCCGTCGTCGGGACCCCCCCCTCCCCCGTTTCCCCGATCCGTCGTCGGGGACCCCCCCTCCCTCCCCCCCTTTCAAAGGGGGGGGGGTCCGAACCCCCACCCCCCCCTCCCCCTCTTTCGCCACGCCGCCCCCTGACTCCGGAACCCGGCCCCCGCCACCCCTACCCCTAGTCCTCACACTAACCCAAACCCCTAATCCGAACCCCAACTACTAACTACTGACTACTGGCTATTCGCTACTCACTTCTCACTACCTCCTACTCACTACTCACGACTCACTACTCACTATCCACTACTCACTACCCACCACCCACTACTCGCTACTCACTACTCCCTACTCACTACTCCCTCCTCCCTACTCACTACTCACTACTCACTCCTCACTACCCACTACTCAATACTCACTACTCACGAAGCACTACTCACTACTCCCTACTGACTACTCACTACTCATTACCCACTACCCACTATCCACTACTCACTACTCACTACTAACTCCTATTGTCCACAAATCACTACTCACTACCCACTACTCGCTACTCGCTACTCCCTACACAATACTGACTACACAGTACTCAGTACTCACTACTCGCTACTCCCATACTCGCTACTCAATACTCACTACTCACTCCCCGCTACTCACTTTTCACTACCTTACTACTCCCTACTCACTAGTCACTACATATTCCCCAGTCACTAGTCACAACTCACTAGTCACTAGTCACTAGTCACTACCCAATACCCACTACTCACCAATCGCTACTCACTACCCACTATTCGCTACCCACTTCTTACGACTCACTGCTCACAAATCCCCACTCCCTACTCCCTCCTCACTAATCACTATTCAGTACTCACTACTCGCTATTCCCTACTCGTTACTCACTAAGCACTACCCACTACTCAAGGCTGACTACTCTCTACTCACTACACACTACTCACTACGCCCTACTCGATCCTCACTACTCACTATTCGCTACTCACTACTCGCTACTCACTACTCACTACAGACTGCCACTACCCACTACTTTCTATCCACCATTACCCACTACTCACTACTCACTACGCACTACGTACTACTCAGTACTCACTACTCACTACTCACTACTCACTCACTACTCGCTACTCGCTACACACTGCCCACTACTCACTACTCACTACTCACTACTCACTACTCACTACGCACTACGCACTACGCACTACACACTACTCACTAATCACTACTCGCCAGCCACTACTCACTACCCACTACTCACTACCCACCACTCATTAGTCCCTACTCCCTACTCAGTACTCACTACTCGCTACTCGCTACTCACTACTCACTACTCGCCACTCACTACTCACTTATCAGTACACACTACTCACTATTCACTACTCGCTACTCTCCACTCCCTACTCCCTACTCCCTACTCGCCACTCACTACCCACTACCCAGTACTCACTACTCACTACGCACTAACTCACTACTCACTACTCACCACTCCCTACTCCCAACTCCGTACTCCCGACACGAGGGGGGAGGGGTCCGACCCCCCCCCTTTCCAGCGCCAAGGGGGGGAGGGGGGGGTGGGGTCCAGACCCCCCCCCCCTTTCAAGGGAGGGTGAGGGGGGTCGGGACCCCCCCCCCTTAAGGGGGGGGGGGGGGGGGGGTCCGGATCCCCCCCCCCCTTGAAGGGGGGAGGGGAGGGGGGGGTTCTGGACCCCCCCCCTCCCCTTTAGTGTATTCAAAGAGATCCACTGGCGCACGTTCCCATTTTAGGCCCCGGTCAGCGCCTGGGAGCACGAAAAGCGCGAGACGAACAACCACGGAAGGGCCTAAGGAACAACGAGCCCATTCTGAACTCAAACCGTTCCGTTGTTCAGCGCCCAGACTGTACTCCCCTCGCCCTCGGGGTAACTTTCGGGGGGGAACCGCCTCAGGGGGAAGGAAACCTCGACCTGGAATCGGCGATACAACGCCGATGGATCGGAGATCGGCCCCCGACAGCGGAACCGCATGTTTCTGGGCGGGGTGGGCTGTCGAGCCTCTATCGGCGATGACTGGACGATTGGGGGTCGATGCGTTGCCCCTGAGCCCATCCCCCGTAATGTTGCCCCTCAAGTTTGGACTCGTGGGCTCTGAGATCTGCGACCTCTGCGCGGGCCGACCGCGGTCGAGGCTGCCCTCGCTTCCGGCAACTCGCCCACGACGCTGCTGCCCAACTGGCGGAGTGGGCAGCGCGAGGGCCTGCACAGGTCGGCCTCCGGCTCGTGCGGCGCGCGAGTGACTCGCGGGAGCCGAAATCGCTTTCACGCTGCACGCTCGCTAGATCGGCGACAGGTGGAGGTTTGGGCACTGGCATCAACACCAACTCAGGGTGACTGCCTCCACCGTGGGCAGATGATGCCAGATTTGGTGTCGGTGGTAATCTCTCGGCCACCTAGGAAGCCCGAATGCTACCGCCACCCACGAGATCGGGATCACACTCCCTTGATGGAGGCAACCACCGATCTTGGAGCTAGTGTTAACCTCTAGGCCTCCGAGGCAAGCAACTCCTGGCCCAAGCATCTAGCGCGACGCCCTGCCAGGTCGTCGGCGCGGGCACGTCGCCAGCACACCCTTTGGCACGGACGTGACGCTGCAGAGGATGACCGAGATGAGTTGCCAGGCAATGGGCCGTCGCCACAGGGCCGCCACAGTAGGGAGGACATCATTGCACATCCTGGAACGGCGGTCCTCGCATGCTGGCTATGTTTCCTGCTTCTCCGACAGAATGGGAAAGAGACAAGGTGCAACGTGTGCGCATGCTGCAGGGTCCGATCTTGCGCGCCTGGTACGTCCTACTAAAACGCTGTTTTCCATGTTGAACAGATTCGTCTTACATCATCGAGCTTCAACACGTGCACCACAACTGGGCAGCTGGCTGGCCGGCGTGCGCGTCGACGAGATGGTGTGCCACGGCATCGACCTTCGATGCATCACACCTTTTGGCAATGTGCTATCTGCCACCCGTCGAGGCGCAGAGGAAGGCCGATCGCTCGCTCTCGATGCATTTGCGCCGTGCCAGTTCAGCCTCCCACGATGAATCCCGAACCCACCGCGTACGTACATGCCACTCCGCCGTAGCGCTCATGCATTGATGCCCGGCGCATCGGACAGCAGCCCGACGAGCAGCTCGTCGTCCCTGGCCGTCGCAGCCTGCCACGCCAAGAGGCACGACAGCCTCTGGTCGTCCGTGGACTCTGCCCTGCGAACCGCCACGACGTCCTGGTGAAACCAAGAGATACTGATACCCCACCTCACCAGAGCTCTCAGAGGGTGCGTTCTGGCCAAAACTTGGCGGCGAATCCAGCCAGGGCGACGAGGGCCTCCCAGGAGGCCCAAAAGGGCGAACACGAGGCTGGGGCTGCGAACGCGAGGCCACCCTTTCCTCCTCTGACGTCCTGCTCGCTACAGGCTCTCACGAGGGCCCCGGCCTCCGCGGCGGCGGCCCCCACCGAGGCGAGGGCCGAGGCCGCCCGCAGGCGCGCGTGCTCAGTGGCCCCCCGCGCGGCCTCGACGGCCAGAAGGCCGGCCCCCTCTGCCTGGGCGTCCGCGCCGAGCCCCCTCAGCGTGCGGGCGGCCGCCCAGCGGACCTCCGCGTCTGGGTCGCGGAGGCTGGCGCTGGCGAGGGCTAGGGCGCACTGCCCCTCCGCACCGTCAGGGCCCCATGAGCCAAGGCGTTGCAAACGAGGACTTCGAATCAGCCCGGAGAGTGCGGCCAATCCTGTAGCCTGGAAAATGCAGCCTGGTTTGGCCCAGAAAGCGCAGCCTGGCTTAGCCCGAGCGCAGCCCTACTCAGTCTGGAGGGTGCGGCCTGACTTAATCGGGAAGCGTTGGTCGGATTGTTTTCGCATCTCGCCCTGTTCCACCTGGAGGGTTCTAGGAATGGACGGTGTGTCGACCTATGGCTGCTCGGGCGTGCTAAACAAGTTTTTGTTCCCCCCCCGGTTACGTCCCCCCCTGTAATCCCCGTGAGGGGGTAATGGTAACGTGGTCGGACTCTGGGGGGGGGGGGCCAGGGCGCCGGACCCAGGGCGGGGGGCCCAGGCGGCGGACGACGACGACGACGACGACGACGACGACGACGACGACGATGGCGACGACGACGGCGACGGCGACGGCGACGGCGACGGCGACGGCGACGGCGACGGCGACGGCGACGGCGCCGACGACGACGACGGCGACGGCGACGGCGACGGCGACGGCGACGGCGCCGACGACGACGACGGCCGCCTCTCAAGGTCTCCAGAGATCTCCAAAACCTCAGGTCGCTGGAGGCTTCTGAAGGCGTCTGGAGGCCCTTCGACGCCCATCAGCACCACACCATGCCTGTGAGCACGGCGCCATGCCTGTGGAAGGGCTGACCCCTGCCCCCCCGTGGGTTCGTTACGGCGGCGACCCACATGTCAGAGACCCTAGTGGAAAGAAGAATCTCCAATGTTCTGGTTTATCATAAAACTCTCACTTCCCAAATATGCGATGTCTTGGGTCTTTCAATGTGGGGTCCCCGGAAATCCCGACCCTCTTCCCAGGGCAATCTTTTCATCCTGGGTTGTTTTTTGATGGTCCCTGGGCCATGCGAGGGCCCATGGAGGCAGAAGACAATAAAAAGACCCCCGCCGTCTTTTCGCTTCTTCCACGACGCGCGCATCTCTGCGAATGCCCTGGTTTATCAAAAAGTCCTGGTTCACGGGCCCCCGAAATCGCACTGCCAGCACAGCGCCGGGCCGAGCCCGCCCAGGGCCGAGGCAGCCGCTCTCCGCACCGCCGGGTGGCGGTCCCGCTGCAGCGCGCAGATCAGGGCCTGGGCCCCGGCCGTGCCTGGAGGGAAAGAAAACGGTGACCATGGCCAAGACTGAGCGCGGAGACCTCGGTGTCGATCTGAGTCCCAATCTGTCTTGGTCACCGTTAACTCGTGGATCCCCCTTCGAAAATCGAGGTACAACCTTGATGGGGTACAAGCAGCTGCGGTCGGAGAATCACGCTGCATGGCAAATGCATCGCCGACAATGCATCGCGACGTCGGCGATGCATCGGCGATGTCGTCGTGGATGCAATTGGGCGCCACATCGAGCCGCATCACCAATGCATCGGCGATGCGGCTCGATCCGCCGACCCCATCTCAAAACCCTAGAATGGCCAAGATCGGCGCCGGCCAGATCCGGCGACATCTCCGTCGTGCTCATCCGTGCTTCTTCCCTCGAGTGCCAGCGAGCGGACCCAACTCCCCCAGCGACGAGGCCGCCGCGAGCCGGTCCTGCGCCCTGCTGCTGGTCTGAACGGAGGGAGAAACAAGAGGCACAAGCATAAACCTTCGGAGCTCTGCGCGGACTTTTGCGGATCGGCGCTGGCGCCTCCCCGCCCCTCCCTGGCGCGCGAAGCGCGCCAGAGGCGGCGTCAGAGGCGCCGCCAGGGGGCCCAGCGCCAAACAAATCACTCCGCGCGGAACTCCGACAATGCATGCGGATGCCGCTGCCTCCTCTCCAGCTGCAGCGCCCTCGCCAGCGCGCCCGTGCCGACGCTGTACAGGCCCGCGCCCTCGGCTCCCCGGTCCAGAGGGGTGCCCTGGGGCCCTGGCAGCCCCAGCAGCCGCAGCCACGAAGAGGGCGCGGGCCCAACGCAGCCCTCGCCGGGGGCCGCGGAGCCGGTGGGATCGGCTGCGTCCGCGGCCATTCGATGGGCCCTGCCCCCAGACAAGCTCACGTCACGTCGTGAACGAAAATCACGGCGGGAAGTTTTCGGCCGTTTTGGGGGGCCCTCGCTGGGCCCCGGGACTTTGAAAAAGCTAGCCGTGGGAAGAAAAAACGGTTCTGCGGGAAGGGGTCTAGAGGGGCCCACGCTGGGCAACAAATGCAACGTCGCAAGTCTGGGCCTCGAGATCCGCCCGAGGCACGCGGCTTGAGCCCGAGCGGCCATGAGGGCCGCTAAGCTCCACGGCCAGAGCGTTCGAACGGACAGGCTCGCCACTTCCTGAAGCATGGGCGGTGCCGAGCCGGTTCAGTCGTGGGTCAGTGGTTTTGGCGGCCTCCATCTCCTCGTCATCGCCCTCCGCCTGCCGTTTCCCATTTCCTTCCTCCGTCCTTCCTCCAGCCTCCTTCCTCCTTCTCCCTCTCTCTCTCCTCCCTCCATTGCCCTGTTTATCCTCCTCCTTCCACTCCCTCTCGCTCCCCCGTCTCGCCCCCGCCCCCCGTCCATCCCATTCCATCCGACTCTTTCCAAACCTTCGCCCACGAATTCTTACCCAACGCCTCTCCTCCGCTACTTGTGGACGCGTTCGCCTGCCCGGCCCGCTTCTCATCCCACCCCGGAGGAGGGAATCACAATTAATACTAATGGTGATGATGATGATGATGGTGATGATGATGGTGATGATGATGATGATGGTGGTGGTGGTGGTGATGATGGTACCGGAGAAAACCCTAATCCGAAGGTTTTCAAGGCTATGGGGCTATGCGGCTATAGGGTTATAGGGCCATAGGGCTATAGGTCTATAGGGCCATAAGGTTATAAGCATATTGAGCTATAGGGCTGTAGGGCTATGGGGCTACAGGGCTATAGTGCTATTAGGCTACAGGGCTATAGGGCTTTTAGGGCTACAGGGCTATAGGGCACTAGGGCCATAGTGGCCATAGTGCGATAGGGCTAAAGGGCTATGGGGATATAGGGCTATAGGGCTACAGGGCACCTGGGCATGGGCAGGCACGGAGATGCAGCACTTCAGCTAGCAAACCATCTGATTGTACAACACGCCCGCACACAACAAAGTGCGCCATAGAGAAACAACCACACACCCGATGTTCGCATAGTACGGAGTGGTTCTTCCACGTTGCACAGCACAGCGGTTATCTCCAAAGGTCGCCATCGCCGCTACCCTACATGGAACGAACAACTGAAAGCGCGGATCATGCATGCGATCAGACGCTTGCACTCTCTGGTCGCACCCGCGGGTGGCGCGTCGCGCGCAGTGTCCGTGGGGCGCGGGCGCGCTCGCGATGGCTGGCCCTGCAGAAACTGAAAGGGAATCTGGGGGGCGGCTTGAAAAAACGAGCGCGCGAATGGCGAAATAATGACAAACATCGCGTGCGTGAACGTGCTACGGAATCGCAACTTCGGGCGCACTTTGGTTCCGCTTTGCTTTACCAGCTTGGCCGCTATTGCGGGCGATAGCGAAGCACTGGGCCTTGCGCGCCATGGCGGCGCAGGAAATCTCGCAGACTCGCGTATGCGATGCACGAGACAACACAGTGCCGCGTGTGGAGCGCATTCGCAACACGGGGCGTCATGGCATAGTCCTGGGCTTTGGTTCACGCGCTCAAGTGTCGCCCGCTTGCGTGCGCAATTGCAATTCAACTGTAGCCCAGGCGTAGTTCAAGTGCAGTCCAGGTGTAGCCCTTGTAGTTCAAGTGTAATCCCAGTGTAGTTCAAACGTAGTCGAAGTGTAATTCAAGACCACGGACCATCAGGAGAAGGAGGAGGAGGAGGAGGAGGAGGAGGAGGAGGAGGTGTTTTTGGCAGCAGCGAGAGGATGGCAAAAGGTCACCTCTCGGAGGAAGAAGAGGCAAGGCCGCAGAATTCAGGACTCCGATCGGTACATTGCTCGAGCGGGGCTTTTTGGAAAGCGCGACAGCTGGCTGCGCGGAGGAGGCGGATCCGGCGGCGCTGGAGCTACAGCGAGGAAGAGGGAGGAGAAGCTGCTCAACGCGCTCTCCGCCCTGCTGGAGGGCCACAAAGAGCAGCGGGACTCAGGCAGGAACGAGGCCCCGCAAGGAGGCAGGGGAGGAAGGTGGCGCAAGCTGACGATGAAGCAAGAGCAGGAGGCCAGCCTCCTGGACAAACTGGCTGCCCTTGAGAAGGGTGCCCAGCGTGCGGAGGAGGGAGGAGGCGAGGCAGCGGAGGGGAAGCTGCTGGACCAGCTGGCCACCCTGGTGGAGGAGACGAAAGCGGCCATGAAGAGGGCGCAGGAAAAAGGAGGGGCGCAGTCAGGATCAGGGCTCCTGGCCAGGCAGGCGGCGGCTCCCGAAGCTATGGCTGGGGGCTTTGAAGCCTCAGGAGGTCTCCAATCCGGCGCAGCTGATGAAGCATCTGGAGGAGGAGGAGGAGGAGGAGGAGGAGGACGAGCAGGCCTTGAGCAGGACGAAGGTCGTGATCGCCACCCTGGCGGGCGGACTCCGCTGTCTGCGGGGCGTTGTCTTGGAGACGGGGGCAATTGATTGCAGGGTGGCGCGCGCTACAAAGGCCGCTGACTACAGGGTGTTGTCTTGGAGACGGAGACAGTTGAAAGCCGGGCGGTGCGCGCCGCAAAGAAACCGGGCGGTCGGGCGGGCGGGCGGGCGGCGGGCGGGCGGGAAATTTAATGCGCTCCTTAATGATTTTCTTCTGCAGCGGGGGCCTGTCGAATGCTGGGCGTTGTGTCAGGGGCGGAGGCCGCTGACTGCAGAGTGTCGCCTTGGAAACGGATGCACTTGAGTGCAAGGGGGCGCGCGCTACAAAGAAGGCGGGCGGGTGGGCGGGGCGGGCGGCGGGCGGGCGGGCGGGCGCGCGAACGGGCGGGCGGGCGGGCGGGGATTTCAGTCGACTCCTTAATGATTTTCTCCTGCAGCGGGAGCCTGTTGAATACTGGGCGTTGTCTTGAAGACGGGGGCCGTTGACTCTAGGACTTTGTCTTGGGGGCCGAGACAGTTGAGTGCAGGGCGGCGCGCGCCGCAAGAAGGCGGGCGGGCGGTCCTGTTGTAGAGGATCTTCATCGGAAACCTTTTGTATGGGCTCTCACTAAGAATCCTTTTGCATTGGCTTCCGATAGATATCCTTGAGTAGAGGCTTTCAATCGGAATCTTTCTGTGGAGGCTCTCAATGGGAATCCTCATGCACAGCCCCCCCCCCTCTCTGCTCGTCCTTTTCCTCCCTCTTTTCTCCGAGGCAAAGTAAGCAAGGTCCGCGCAGTGGGCGCTGCAGTCCAGAGCCCATGCAAGATCGATCGCCACGGTCTACGAGCAAACCTCGCCGGCTCAGCGCTGAGCGGCATCGCGGGGGCCAGTCCCTGCCGGCGCTGGCCGCTGAAGACAATCCGCGGCCCTCCTCGCACCCCCAGGCGAAGGGGGCATCCCGGCAGCGGCCGACCAGGGATCCCTCTGCCGAAGCACTATAGCAGCGGCAAGATGGAGCCTGCTGCGCGGCCCCTTAGTAAGCAACCAGCAAACGCTTTCGACGTCACCCAGAGTGGATTCGGCGTCGCTGTCGGCGCTGGCAGAGGAGCTGTCGCCGACTCGGGCGCGGCCGCCGCCGGGGCAACCGGGGCGATGCCGGCGGCAGGGGGCAACGCCAACGGCGCCCGACGGAGCGCCGCAGCCTGTGCTGCAACGGGCAATGCCGCCACTCCCCACTCACAACCAGCCGCTTCCCGCAGGAGCTCATCAGGTCTAAGGGCAAGATGGCGGACCGCTTCATAGACGGCAGTTGGATCGCGGCCGGCTTTGTACAGCGCGGCCAATCAAAGCCTCCGCGTCTCAGCAGAGGTCTCGAGCCTGGCGTCCGAATATCGGTAGGCCCCCGCCGTCGGTTTGCCCCCCCGTCGCTGCGCTGCGGGGTGCCCACCCAATTCCCAAACCCGCGCGACAGTCGGAGTCCTAGCGCAGGCGGTCAGCCACACTCGGAAGTTTCCGTCGCAAGAAGTAGGTGGACACCGCCCTGGTCTCGTGAGGCGTTAGCGACAGCGGGGGCAAAGTGCAGATGGCCCGTAGAGAGCCCATGAATTTTGCACAGGACATGGCTGTTGGACGGACGTCTGACTCAGCGGAGAAACCTGCCCCTGCGCGACAAGCAATGTATGACACCAGATAATCGGCGTCAGGGTTGCGCACGCAGAGCTCGTCAAAGAGCTGACGAAACAGCGGCAGGTTGGGCTGGATTGGATATGTATCGGCACGGCAACGCAAAAGGCCTCGCCCTTTCTGGTTTTGCCCTTACTCACCATGCCGACGAAGGTGCGGCCAATGCATCGTTCGCGAGCGAACGTGCGCCTCTGGGCATGGCGAAACCTCAGACAAGACACCGCAATGAACATCACCAGTTTGGCGAACGACGCGATTGCCCCCGTCTGGGAAGTGGCCAAGCCTATACTATGTCGCCACACCCGTAGTTCAAGTTCTCGGCCCATCGGGCGGACCGACCGCCCAGCTGGGAACTTGCTGTGTTGCACCACTAGCGGTGAATCAAGTGGGAGATGAACGAAGCCTAAATGGTCGGACAACCACTTGAGGCCTGTCCACAATCCGTTTGCCGCGGTGGGCCCCACCAATGAGAGGGGCTGCTGTTCCACCCACTTACTCCATCGGCGCCACGTATTACAGGCATGGTGAATGCCACGCGCGTCGAATCGCGGCGCCAACTGCCCAGCGAAGCGGTCGAGCCACGTCTGGAGTTGGCCAGCCGACTCCGCAACAGAGTATTCATGGTAGAATCGGCTGTGCGCATGGAGGTCTACCAGCATTGCGGCAGCTGCCGCGCAAGCTCGTTTGTTGGGGTCAGTGTTAGGGGCAGCGGTGCTGCGGGGCAGTGGGCGCCAATTCGCCTGCGCCCGCGCGACGAGTCCGACGCGCGGCACTTTTGGCGCTGGTTACCCTATGCCAGTGCATGGCCGAGCCAGTCCGGGAAACAGGTGGCGAATGCCGCTCTCTATCGGACGCTGCTGTTGATGACGCAAAGGCGCGATCGCGGCACTCCGTGCTGCCAGCAGCCCTGCTGAGCAGGGTGTGCCAGTCAGTCGGCCGAGTTCTTCGGGGCGCAAGCCAGCGAGGTCAGAGGGCTGGCACCCAGTACGGGCCAGTATCTCTGCCTCAGCTGGTGTTGCACCGCCCCATTGCGAAGTGGGCGAAACGCCCTCTGGATCCATAGCGGCGCGCGCGGCGGGGCAGCGAAACGAATGTCTCGCCTGCGCACCCCTCGGGCCGAGAGGGCTGCGACGAGGTACACACTCCCCTCTGATGATAATCCCCATCAGCACCTACCCTGCCTTCCCAAAACTGATCGGAACGACAAACGTCCAACCTCGATCCTCGATCCTCTCCCCCCTCCTCCATCGCACCGTCTGCGGGTCTGTGGAGGTCCCCAGATGTCCCAGGAGGTTTCCGGATGCTCAAAACAGGCCAAGCACAAACTAAGAACCTTGATCCTTCTTTTCCTCCCTCCCTGGCTCCCTCCCACCCTCCTCGCTCTTCTCCCCCCCGGATCACCCAACGTCGTGCTTCTTCGCGCCCCTCGCCCCTTGGTTATCGGGATGCCCGCGCGAGGCCACCTTGGGGAAGGGCAGCTCTCTGGCCCGGGCCGCGACGCGCGAAACATGATGATCTTCGCCCCCCCGCGGGTGAGGCCCCCCGCGCGACAGTGAACCAGAACGTTACTCATGTCCCCAGAACCCCTAGAACCCGAAGAACGCAACGGGCCCCAAACCTCCCACAGAACCCTCGAAGACCTAGATCCTCAGTCCTCGATCGCCGACGATGACGATGAGGACCATGACGAAGACAGACGGCGGCGACGACGGCGACAGCAACGACGACGGTGACAAATGACGACGACGGCGGACAACGGACGAAGACGGCGACGGCAACCCTCCAGACCTCTACTACGGTGCCCTCTGAAGATGCCTTCGAGGCTCGATTTTCGACCACGACGACGACGACGGCGACGACGACGACGGCGACGATGATGGCGGCGACGACGACGGCGGCGGCGGCGGCGACCGACAGTTTCTTGAGGCCCCTAAAGGCTTCTGAAGACCCCCAGGGCGGTCGATATGCGCAGAAGAGTCTCAATCCACAAAAAACACAAACCCTCGACCTCCGACGCCGACGGCGACAACGACCAGGACCACCACCATGTCGGCGACGACCACGACGACACCGACGACCACGACAACGAAGATCGCCGACAACGATGACGACGACGACCATAACTACGGCGACGACCGCGACGACGAAGAACGACGAACACGACGACGACCACAATGATGACGACGACGACCACGACGACGAGGGCGAGGGCGAAGACCAGGACATCGAACACAATCCATGACGACGACGACCGCGACGACGCCCGCGCCGACCACGACCACGACGCCAAAGAGCGACGCCGACGACGCTGCGCCTGGTGCTGCCAGCTGGGGCGCCGCCCCCGACGAAGCTCGGCCACGCCTCCCTGGCGGCGCCTCCGGCCGCGCGCGCGGCGCCGTGAGGCCGCGGCGGCGGCAGGCCGCGGCGGCCCCTTAAGAGGGCCACCCTCGGTGAGAGCATGCCGCCTTTGTTTGAAGCCACGTAGCGGCCCTGGAGAGCGGCGTTTTTTTTTGAGGCCACCCTCAGTGAGAGCACGCAGCTCTTGCCGCGTGTCTTCCGAAGCCGAATTTTGCGAGGCGAAGATGAACGGTCGGGATGGTTTGCTTGGCGTGTCGTGTCGGCGGCCCCAACGGCACGCTTTACCTTGCAAGTGGATGGCGTGTCGCTGTGCTCCGCGGGGCGAGATGCCGGGAACAACTCGGGACTTTGACGCTTGTGGACTGGGAAGTGGATAGCGTGGCGCGCCGAAGCTCGGTGGGCCAGAACTAGCGGAGCGGCACGCTAAGCCAAAGCTCCTGACTGCAAGGCCACCCTCAGGAGAGTGCAGCTCTTGCCGCGTGACTTATGAAGTTCTGCGAGGCGGTCTGTCCATAAAGTCAGGTAGGCCATGGATATCAGCGGCGCCCACATCAGATAAGGAATTCTCCAGGGTCTGAAGCCTCCTTGGCACATCCCTTCACGAAGGCCCCCACCGTGACCACTGCCTGGGGGATCGGGCTTCGGGTTCTCGGCGGGCGGTGGATGTGGACGAATTCGGGCCCTGGGGAGGCCAGATGTTTCCATGTCCACCGTCTGCAGACCAACGCTATGATTTTACGGCAAGGGCGACGGTGACGATGACAACGATGGCGGCGGCGACAACTGCGGCGACGTTGGCGACGGCGGCGCCGGCCGGCGACGACGGAGGCCATGGCGACGGCGACGGCGATGGCGACGGCGGCGGCGACGGCGACGGCGGCGGCGACGGCGACGGCGGCGGCGACGACAGCGACGACGACGACGATGGCGATGGCGACCGCGGAACGACGTCGGCGAGGGAGACGCAAGGCGAAACCCCATAAACCCACATATTTTCTTTTAGGGCCCAGGTGCCCTCACCTCCGCTCAGGTAATTAAGGACACAACCTCCCCAACAAAGTCATAGCATTGGGCACAAAATCCAAGGTTCCGTGGTTCCCATTGTCCTCTGGGGCATTGGATCCGACCGGAAGGGCAATTCGATCCACCCGACCTTCGCACAGCCGCAATGCGATCCAATTGGGCTCATCGGTTTTCACGACAAGAGGAGAATGCTCTCTTCCTGGGAATACATGTACTACACGTTCTACTGGCGCGGGGTAGGCGGCCCCGAAACAAACTGTGTGGACAGTCTCGAACAAACCCTCGACGCCTTTTTTCCCGGGTGGCCAGACAACCGAGGCGACAGCGCGGCTGACGCGTGCCCGCGGTAGCAGATGCACCAAATCAGGAGGAGGAGGAGGAGGAGGAAGAGGAGGAGGAGGAGGAGGAGGAGGAGGAGGAGGAGGAGGAGGAGGAGGAGGAGGAGGAGGAGGAGGAGGAGGAGGGGAGGACGGCGGCTAGCTCAGCCAGCCGCCGCGGGCCCCCGGAGCCCGACCGATGGGCCAGGCAGCGCCCCCCGCGCCTCCGGCGCCGCGAGCCGCGCAGCGCGGCCGCCGCCCTTGCTGGTGCGGGCAAGGACGTGAGTACGGAGAGCGGCCAGCCGCTCGGCCGCGGGCGGCGCCGAGGACGGTCGCGCCGCGGCCGCCCGCGCCTCGCAAATGGCCACTGTGGCCGCGTCGGCAGCGGCTGCGCGCGCAGCCGAGGCCGCTCGGGCTGCAGCGGCGTGCGCCGCGCGCCGCGCCCCCAGCGCGCGCGGGCGGGCAGCAGCCGCGGCCCCGGCAGGCGGCAGCGCGGCGGGCGGGGGCAGCGCCGCCGCGGGCAGCTGTGGCGCCGGCGGCGCGCACTGCGGCGGGGCGCCGGTGCGGAGCCACGCCCGCGGGCGCCGCGTGGCGGCCGCGTCGCGCACTGTAACACGGCGTCGCCTGGCCCGACCACCGCGTGGACGTGGTTGTTGGCGGCGTAAGTGACCGCACCGAGGACCGCGCCCTCCTGCAAGAGCCGCGCGCCATTAGCGCACGGCGGCGGGCAGCCCGCAACGGCGTTGGCGACAGCGTCCGCCAACCGATTCGCACGCCAGTCCACGGTGGACACGAAACCGTCGTCGGAGCGCTTGGCAGTGCCAATGCTGGCCAAACTGCCGTGCGCTGGCATCCATGTGAGCCGGCCAGACAAGACGAGCACCGAGACGTCGCCGTCCACCAGCGCGGCCACGCGTGACCAGAGCTGCGCAAGCATGCGCGTGGGCTTGGTCGCCTGGTGCGTGCAGGCTGCAGCTACCGCAAGGATAGATTGGCAGTCGGTGCGGATGCGGGGCGGCGCGAGGGCGATAGTGAGCACGAGCGTCACTGCCCACAACTCCGCTGCCGCCGCTGTGCGAATCCAGGGAGGAGGGCAAGCAGCACCGAAGGCCACCATATCCCAGCAATCAGACACGACCACAATGCCACATCCAGTCCGACGGAGCTCCCACAGCGGACCGAACCTCACGGACCCGTCCGTGTACCAGATGATGTCGTCGCGGGTTTCGTCCGGCGGCTCCGTGAACCAGCGGACGGCGAATTCCTCCTGCGCCAGAGGGCGGGGCATCCGAAGCGCGATGAAGCCGCGCGTGCGGAGGAGCGCGACCCGGGCATCCGAGAGCGAGGAGGAAAGGTCCTGGCAGGCATGCGGCGGCTGCACCCCTCCGGCGGCAACGTCGCCTCGCAGACGCGGCGGTGCAGGAGCGTGCCCACGGCTACGCCGCACAGCTGGCAAGTCGTCTGCGCCCCGCAGCCGGGCAATGCGGACCTGGGGCCACTGGCCGCCGAAGGCAGCGGAAAGCAGCATCGACCGGCACTTCCGAGACCACTGCGGAACGGTGCGGCTGGGCCGGCCCTGGCCCTTCAGCAGACGCGCAATGGGGCGCCCCACGATGGACCGTGAAATAGTCGGTGCCCTGGGCATTCGCCAAGTCAGGCGGGCCGTCGACGATGGTTGGGAGCTCGGAGACAAGGCGCTTCGGGCGCCACCTGTCGACCGATCTGTGCACAGCGGCCGCCACCATGGCGGGCGACATCAGGATGAAGTCAACAGGTTCTCGCAAGTCGTCCAAGAACCGCCTCGGTGAAACGCACTTCCACCCGAGACGCCAGGCCGTGGCGATGACAGCCGCCTCCGGGCCAGCAACGGCAGTCCACGGAGACCTGCCGCGCGCCACAACTGCGGCCAGACGTTGCCGCGACGCCTCGAAAGCGCAGTCGAGGTCCCCTGAGGGCGCCCAGTCTCGAGAGCCCCTGCTAGACACAAACCCCAGAGCATAATCTCAAACTCAATTGCTCCGTCTACTGTCCCCTGTGATGCCCTTACCCAGCAGCGCAGTGTCGCACGAAGATCAAAACTACGCGCTTTCTGCGCAAAAGTCTTGACAGGAGCTCCCAGAAAAAAAACAACCACTAGCTTTTCGACGAGTGCGCTGCAGCATGTCCGCACGCACGTACAGACAGCGCGCGCACGGCACTCCTGAAAGCAGAACTCCAAAGCTGGGGAACGATTTCAGCCAGCCGCGTGCGATTGCTATGATGCCGGCCTCTTCGTTGAGTGGAAGCTCAGACGGGGAAATATCGACCTGGAATCAGCGATAAATCTTCGATAGCGCGACGATTGGGCCACCGATCGCGAACCCGGACGTTCCTGAGAGCGGTGGGCTATCAGGCCCCAATCGATCAATGGGCCATTCGTGGTCGATGCCTCCCCCTGAGCCTATCCCGCCCAGTGATCATCGTCTTCTTGTTTTCGGATCACAACTCTGGTCCCCAGCGGCCGTTCGGGGCGATCGGGGCAGCCCCAAAATGCTCTCGGCGAGGCGCGCCTGCTGGAGAGCACCGCGAGGCTGGAGAACCGCTAAGAACCGTCGAAAATGTTGCCCCCAACGTTACCCCTGATTCGAATCCTTTGGAAGTGGCGGTCCGAGGGCGCCTCCACCCTCCGCTCCACCGCCGAACCTCTCGAACGACTTCCGATAACTTTCGCATCCTTGAGAGGTGGCGGTCCGAGGGTGCCTCCACCTCTCGCTCCACCGCCGCCGTAGTGAGCCTCCTGCGGCGCGGCGCGGCGGCAAGAGCAAGGCCCGAGCGGAGAAAAAACGGCAGGGGAGGCCGTGGGCGGGGTGGCCCAGGCCGCAGACCGGGCGGCGGCCAGCTTGTGCGAGCGCGGGCTCGTGGCCAAACGCTACACGGGGCCCGCCGGCTTCCCTCCAGGCCCCGCTGGGGGGCGCGGGGGAGGCCGCACGCGTGCACGGGCTCGCGGCCAAGCGCTGTGGGGGCTTCGGGCTTCCCTCCACGCCTCTGGGGCTGGGGCGGGACAGCGCGCCGAAGCGCCCTGCCGGCCCCACGCGATGGGCGCAAGTGCTCGCTGCTGGCATCGCCCTACCTACACGCGCCTTCCTCCCCAACTGCTCCTCAGGCCTCACGCGCCGTGCCGATTCGACCGACTAGCCGAACTATTTCGGATCCCATCAGAACAAGAGAAACAAATTGGCGCTCACCCCGACATCGAAACATGTCAGAACATCTTGCAGCTGCACCGGGTCGCGCAGGCTCTGACGGCACTGCAACAGAATGGCAACCGACTGCTGCACCCAGCAGCGGGCGAACCCGTAAGGTTGCGCGCGGCACTCTCGCAGGACGGCCAGGAGAGACCTTCACCAGTAGGTGGCCACGCCGAATCCTGCAGGAGCTCAAGAAAACGCGGCCGCGTGCGGGGCGCGGGTCATGACAAGCCGCCATGGCAACCTCGAGGAGGGGAAGACACCCATGAAACCCAGAGGCGCGCCCAAAAACGGTTCAACCGTGTTCTGCTAACGGCTCAATCGGACACGCGCGCCAGTGATTCGCCTTGTGCCCTCAAGAGTCGTCTCCGCACGAGGCGACCCTTGACTTCTGGGGGAGGGCGGGGGGAGCCGGGGGAAGAGAAGGGAGGATTGTGGAGTTAGGAGGGTACAGGAAGTGGGGGGGGGGGGCATTGGCGATGGCATGGAGGTAGACAGAGAGAAGTGGGGGTATGGAAGTAAAAGAAGAGGGTAGCATGGGAGTTGAGCCTGGCACTGGTATGTCGGAAGCTATCATTCTGCTGGGCGTCACCGCAAAGTCTCACGCGTACCGAGTCTACCCGATGCGAAAACTGCTGGCGAGCATTTACGCACCAGCTGATTGCTGGGCGGAAGCGGTCGCATTCAAGCATTTGAACCTGGGTACCCTCCTCCCTGCTTATTATTATTCTTCTTCTGTTTCTCCCTCTTCATCTCCTCCTCCTCCTCCTCCTCCCCCTCCTCCTCCTCCTCCTCCTCCTCTTCCTCCTCCTTCTACGTTAGCCCAACCTAAGGTTTCCCAGTGGCGTCCTCCTCCTCCTCCTCCTCCTCCTCCTCCTCATCCTCATCCTCCTCTCCTAAGCACCCAAGCACATCCGTCTTCTCCTCCTCCTCCTCCTCCTCCTCCTCCTCCTCCTCCTCCTCCTCCTCCTCTCCCCATCCAAATCGCCCGCTCGACGGCTTCCAGCTGCGTCAGTCGTCACAGAACAGGCAGAGGTCAGTGAAATGTGAACAACCAAGCGCGCAGCTCAGTGAGACCAACCGTCGGCCGAAGGATCACCCCCACGTCGTGGAAATTTCCTTCACCGCAAACACGCCACAAGCATTTCGCCTTGAACCGGTCGCAAACCCTCACAAGACATACGCATGGCGTGACCATCGGCGGGCGCCGACACGAATGCGTCCATCGAAGAAGAACAAGGTGCATAAACATGAACTGTCGGAGCTCCGCGCAAATTTCTCGGATCGGCGTTGGGCCCTCCCTGGCGGCGCGACTCGGCTCCTGGCGCGCTGCGCGCGCCAGGGAGGGGTGTCCAGCGCAGATCCGGAAAAACCGCGCGGACCTCCGAACGTTTATGCCAGTGCCGCTGGCTGCTCCTCTGGTCCAGGAAGACCGAAGGCCCAACGAGAAGGAGCAAGAGGAACAAAGAAATGAGCAGCGCCGAGGGCCTGCGCCGTGGAACGCCGCTGCTCCCGGGGACGACGCACTCGCCCGGGTCAGCCCAGACCCGGGTCTGCCACGGCCCTGTCGCGAAGCCAGGCTAGCCGCTCAGTGGCTTTCAGCCCCGTGTAAGCGGAAGGTGGAAGGCGGGCATCGGCCCCACGTGGCTCCCAAACTCAGGTCGGCCCCACGTGGCTCCCAAACTCAGGTCGACCTCCAGATCTCGACTCCTCAGGACCGGCTGTTCATCCTGAGTAGTTGTTTGACGGCCCCGGGGCCTGGAGAAGGACCCAAAGGCCGAAACCGGCCAAACACCTCCCGTCGTTTTTTCACGACGCGAGGGGATCCGGGTTACGTGAGCCCCGCTGCTCTCTCTCGCTCCCTGCTCCGGCCCTTTGCTGCGGGCAAGATTTATATCCATGTCCAGTGCGTCTTGGACTTGCTGGGAAGTGGCACCGAAAGACCGAGGCGCACTGGATATGGATAAAAATCGAGCCCCTTGGGGAACAAAAACTATGCATGTCCAGTGCGCCTCAGATTTCTGGGGAAGAGGGCCCGAAACTCCAAGCTGCAGCAGAGATGGGCACAAGTCTCTCCCGCACTTGCAAGGAGGGCCTGCGCGCACGCAGCACACGACTCGTGGGTGCTCGGCGGGCGCCGGCGCCGCGGCTGTGGAGGCAGGAAGGTGCTGCTACCGCTGCTCCCCACACGAGTAGCAACGTTAGGGATGGGACACGGTGCGGGCATTGGAGAAGGAACCATTGGATACGGAATCCATGGTCTGGAAGCTGGTCGAACTCTAATCGTGGCTTGGCCATGGATGTCACTGCCGCCCTCATCAGATAAGGAATCCATCAGGGTCTGAAGCCTCCTCGGCACATTCGTTAACCAACGCTCCCACCGCAAGTAGGCTCAATGGGTGATACATCGACCACCGATGACTCATTGATCGCCGATAGGAGCCTGACAGCCCATCACGCCCAGCCACGTGCAGATTCGCTGTCGGGGGCAATTTCGCCGATCTATCGGCGATGTACCGCCGACTCAAGGTCGATGTTTCCCCCCCTGAGCCTTCCCCCCCCCCACACACCCCCAACGTTGCCACTGACGGACCGTTCTGACCAGAATTTCAAGGAGGATCCAACCGTCGCGACAAGGGCTCTCCAGGGCCTCTGAGCAGCATCTGGCGGGGTCCTCGTAGGCCGCCGCAGCACCGCTGCTGGAGCCCTCCACCAGCGGGCCTAGAGGTAGAGCAACTACATCAACATAAACTTCCGGAGCTCCACGGCTCCACGAGGGCTTCTTGGATCGACGCTAGACCCTCCCTCCCTGGAGCGCGGAACGCGCCAAGGCCGACGCCAGAGACGCCGCCAGGGGGCCCAACGCTGACTCAAGAAATCCGCGCGAAGCTCTCCAGACATGCGATGCCTTGAGCAGTTCAAAACGGACCCTGGAAGTCCCGACCCTTTCCCCAGGGCGGCTTTGTCACCCCGGGATATTCTGTGACAGTCCCCGGGCCCGCCCCCCGAAGCCGAAAACATCACAGAACCCCCCAGTCGTGGTATCTTAAGTCAGGAAGTGTATGTGTATGCCATGTTTTCTTCTGCGAGGACCTGCGGCGGCGCGGCGCATCAGCGCTGGCCTGCCGTGCTGCACGGCGGCGTCCTCCACCAGGGGGCCGCTGGCGGCGCGGCGCACCCTGGCGCCCTTGGGCCTCGGCAGGGCGCTCTTGAAGGCGCGCCCGCGGCCGAGAAATGCCGCGGTCACGGCCAGATCGGCGGTTCAAAGATGGGGCCCTGAGGGATGGGTCCCTACGGCAGGTTCGTGCGGCGTCGGCGCGCGCAAAGGTTTTTGACACCGCGTCGGTCGTTTGAGGTTGAATTCAGTCGGGTCCAATGGCGTTATCGTGTCCATCGGTGTTTCCGCGTCGCAGAATTCAACCTTGAACGCCTTCGCCAGCGTCGCCTGCGCGCCAACGCCGCATGATCCCACCCCAGGATCGTCACCAACGGACCTAACTGCCCCCAGGGAAGTCCCCCAGTGGATTCTTCGATACGACCTGCAAAATTGCTTTGCTTCTCCAGGGTGCGTGTGTGTGTGTGTGTGTGTGCGTGTGCGTACAAGGATCGGAGTAAGCCCAGGTTGGATTGGAGTTGTTTGAGGCTCCTCGTCCTTAGGGGCCCATCCCTCAGGGCCCCTTCTTTGAACCGCTGCATCGGGCTGCATCAGTAATTATGGAGACAACATCGCCTTGCGAACATCAAGCCGCATCGGATTGCTGGAATATCGAAAACGAACCAGTTCGGGCAGGCCAGACTCGATATCGAATAGGATCGATCGGATCGAAATGGGCCCTGCTGAGGGATGGGGCCCTAAGGATAGGACGGAATCCCAGGTTGGATTTACAGGCGGGGTTGATTGGAGACGACACGCGAGAGGGCACAAGACCCTTCCGAGGGCGATATTGCCGTAAGAATGCAGAAGGTACGGGTCGCGAAACACAGGGCACAAGGGTGCCCTTTCTTTGGCAGGGTCGACCTACTGATCAGCCTCGACTGTACGTTGCTTGAGGCCCTACGTCCTTAGGGCACCATACCTCGGAGCCCCAATCTCTGAACCGCCGCGCCGAGCAGAGGGTCCCGATTTGGAGCCCAGGCCGGCCATGCAAGCGCAGCCGCAGACCCCCTCGTATCGTGGCAGGAATCGCGATAAAAAATACATTGGAGATCTGTAGCCTCTGGGGGGAGCTCTCGCAAGGCCCGGGACCGTCACCAAAACGACTCGGGACGGGACTTCCACGGATTGCATAAAATTCAACAAAGCTTAAAGCATTGGATGACTGTCTGGGTCTCGGCATACTCCAGGTCAGCCCTGCGCACGCAGCCCGTGGCGTTCTTGGTTCCCCGACCCTTCGTGTGTTTGGCACTCGTGCTGACTATAACGCTGCTGATAGCCGTCCTCCTCCTGCTCCTCCTCGCTGTCGCCTCGCGCCGCCCCTCTTTCTCGCCGCCTCCTCGCTTCCTCCTCGCTCCTTCCTCTTCCCCTTGGTCTCGGACACTGTCCTGTAGGACAACTCGTCCCCTTGGCGCGTCCTTGTGGGCTCCTTGGAGGACATCGCCTCACCCAGCAGCGCAACTGCTGCCACCGTCTTGAGCCCCGGGGACGTCCGGCTGGGTGCAACCCCATCCAGCTCCCTACGGGATAGCCGGGCCGTTCTTCCACTTAGCGGGGGCGCCGTTCTCCCACTTAGCTTCCCCCGAGAGCGCCCCCACTTGCCGTGGATATGTTCCCCCACTTGGCGGGCGCGCCGTTCTTCCACTTAATTGTCAGGCCGACACGCTAGAACGGACAGTCGAAGTGATAGAACGGGGTATTTTTCCCAACGGGACCTCGCTTCCCTGAGCTTTGCCAACTGCGCAACTGCCGCCACTTCCGTACTGTAAGCCCCTGAGACGTCCAACGGAGTACGTCCCTGACCAGCTCCATGAGCCCACGCCTCCCTGGACGCTGCCGACTGGGTGGGGCGTGGGAGACGGAGGAAGGAGGGCGAGTAGCAGGAGCAGCTGGAGGAGCAGGGGGCTGCTCACAGCGACGGTCCTTCGGCGGGCGCTCGGCAGACCGGCCAGCGTGCTTACGCTCGCTCTTGCGGGTCGGGTCATGTCATGTAGTTAATGTCGCGCGCTCCTCCCACTCGCGCTCGCGCTCGTGCTGCCGCTGATCCTGCTCACCCTGATCCGCGTCGCAGACCGTCGACGACGTCGTCGTCGTCGCATCGGATTCGTTTGTTTGCGCTTCTAGAGGCTCTCGTCCTTTGGCGTGGCCTCCTGTCTGTTCTCTCCTCTCCCCCTCGCCCTGCCCCTCCTGTCTCCTCCCCTATCCTTGAGGTGGTTCCGCTTGTCCCATGCTTCTGCACATCCGATCTGCCACCTGCACGTCGGTCGCCACCCAGGGGCGCGTGGGTGGCCGCTGCGTGCGCTGGCTGGGGTATCGGCATGTTCGGGCGGTCGCTGGGTTCTTGGCGCCGCGTACATCACGTGGGTTGTAGCACAGAGCGTGCACCGCAGCGCTCCACACAACGCGCTGCATGGTGTGCAACGAATACCTTGTGCCGCGTAGGCTGTACCACACATAATGCAAAGCCTGAAGAGCAGCTCGTATATTGCATCACCTGGGTTGCATTACATAGTTTGCGCCGCGTAGATCGCACGCCAGGTCTTGCCCTGTGGGGGTGGCATCACATGCCTCGCCTCCAATGGCAATTATCATGTAGACTGCGCCATCTCTATACACACCTTTCTGCCTACCTATCTACCTACATACATACCTACCTACCGACATACATGCATACGTACACACATACATACATACATACATACATACATACATACATGTCCCACCCGTTTCTTCACCAGAGACGGTTCAATCTATATGGAGAACGGCGGGCTGACCGGCGGGCTCCACCATAAAGCACGTGCTTGAAATGACCAGCAGAGTTGACGCTAACAGAATCAATGCATGCAGGAGGAGGGGAGGGAGGAGGAGAGCTTGAGAGAAATGCCAGCGGACGGTGGCATTGACGGCAAACGGGATGGCAGGACACGGAAGTTAGAAAACGCCGCCATGTCCCACCCGTTTCTTCACCAGAGACGGTTCAATCTATATGGAGAACGGCGGGCTGACCGGCGGGCTCCACCATAAAGCACGTGCTTGAAATGACCGAAGACCCGAACCTGGCCTCTGGCCGGCACATGTCAATTACACACACGGGACAAATTTTCGAGTTGAATCCGATCCGCGGCACGAGACAACCAGCGGGCCATAGCTCGGGCCGCGGAGGCCGGGTACGGTTCGGCGATGGAAGTCCAATGGCGCCCGCAAGGGGCTTTACCCTCGAGGGAGATGTGAGGACGGCCAGAGAATGAGCATCTGACACCGACGCTATGGCACCGGCGGGCCAGCGCCTCAGGGGCTGCGCCGCAGTGCCAAGACGCCAGGCGGGTGCTTTTTCTCCACCGCGTCCCGTGAGCGCAAAAGTCGAAGACAGTAGTGTTACAAGTTGGCAAGGTGAGCATATGAGACAGCAGGGGTTCTTGCCACATCAGACTGGACATAGGGTTCTCGAGTGCAACAGGCATTCCTCTCTTGAGGCAGGCGGTGACTATGAGCAGAGAGTGCTTCAGCAGCAAATTTCCAAGCTGGGCACGGGCTAAACCTTTGGGGTCGAGCTCCGGGTGCCCATAGATATTTAGTGGCGATCTGTATCTACCACGGCTGGCAACTGACCAAGTGCTGCAGGGCGGCGCGATCCAAATGCCACGCGCTGCTCCACATCCGATCCACCCTATGAGAATACGAACGAGACGGATGTCCGGCAGATCAAGCCAAGGGTCAGACCTAATATCAATTGAGACGACACCGTACTCAGTACATGATCGAATTTTGCTAGCCACGCTGCCGTCACCGGCGAAAAGATCCAGAAACACCTGAGCACGATTGCGCCCTTTGCGGGCTGCATCAAATAACTTCTGCATGCGCTTGCGGAGGGAGGGGAGGGACAAGGACTCAGTAGGCTGGTATGTGTCACCCGCTGGCCTCTTGCTCACCACGGCTTGTCGGGGCGCCGCGGGCGGGGCGGCAGGCGGCTCCGGCCTCGGAGCGTCAGCGCCCACTGGTCCGCCACCGCGGCGCCGAAGGTCTTGACCGACTCCGGCGCCAGCGCGAGCTCCGCGGTGCACCGGGCTGCCCGGCTGTACCGCTGGGTGCTGGTCGCGCTGGCGTGCCGAAGGCGGGCTTGCACGGCCTCGAGGCTTCGCGTCCCGCTGGCGATGTCCCAGCTTGCTGAGCCGTGTCGCACCCGGTATGGGTGCGGGTCCTTCAGGTTGATCATCTCCGCGTACTTCCTGAAGAGCTGGCCGAAACGCCTGGCGTCGAGGGCCCGCAGGGGCGCCTGGGCTGGGCGCTCCCGCAGGCGCGCCAGGACAGGGCCGAGGGCCTTTGAGCCCGCTGGCGTGAGCTGGACCCCCTCGTCGAACTGCTTCCCTTTGCTGCGCAGGCCGGTCTCCTCTGGGTACAGCAGCAGGCTCCACTCGCCGATGTGCATGCGGGGCTGCGGCGGCACGAGGGACGGACTTCGCAACTGCATCAGGTCGCTTGGTAGGCGGAGGGCGGTGTCCCACGCCAGGCTGAGGGCCTCCGCGAACTCCGACCCGCCGTCCAGCATCGCCAGGCCTATCAGGCAAAAGACCGCCTCGCGGACCAGCGGCTGGCGCGCGCGGGCCGGGGCGAGCAGGCGGAAACCCTTCAGGGCGGCCCTGCATGCTGGCCGCCAGCTCGGCCTCGCCCACCGCCGCGGGGCGGAAGTGCCGGACGGCCGCGATCGTCTTCGACGCGACGTCCGACGGCATCCCGTCGAAGTAGAGCACGTCCATGTACTCGCTGATGGCCATGTCGATCTCGCTGGCGTTCTGAACCGGCACGGCGTGCGCCTGGCACCAGATGTCGAAAGTCCGGTACGAGGTCGCGAAGTGCACGTTGGACGAGGCCCTGATCTTGCGCTCCTGCAGGTACGTGAGCGCGGTCCCGGTCGGCTGCGCCAGGGTGGTGGCGCGTGCCGTCCTGGCCCGCTCGGCTGCCAACCTCGCTCTCCTCGCCGCGGCCCGCTCCGCTGGGGCTGGAGCTGGTCGAGCCGGCCGCGGGCTCCGACTCCGAGTCGCTGTCCGAGGAGTCGTTCGGCTGCACGCCGACGCCCCCCCGGTGGAGCCCGAAGCCCCCGGCCAGTGCCGCGGGCGCCGCGGCGTCGCCGAGGCCGGCGAGGCCTGGGTCGCGCCGCCGCGGGCGCCCTTCCGCGGCGAGCTCCTCCGCAGCGGCTCGCCATAGCGAGTCATCCTCGGGCTCCGGTGCAGAGCGGCCTCCGAAGGAGCGGAGGTCAAGCCGGGCGTTCTGAGCCCGGGCTGCAGGGGGTCTCGAAGGAGCGTCGGCTGGGTTCAACTCTGAAGGGATCCACCGCACTGTGATATCGATGTTGGCAAAGATGGAGATCGCAGCAAGCCGACGAAGCACGAGGTTAAGCGACGACACCGAAGATCTCCCCTTACCCGACGCGAGCACCAGCCCCATGTTGTCGCATAGCAGCAGCAGGCGACGCCCATGATTGGCAGTGTTGCGTACGAAATGGCGGACCCCCATGACCAGAGCCTCCCCCTCCAGGATAACGATGTCGGCGGCCCTGTTGAACCTTCCATAGAAACAAACCTTCCAGTCTTCTTGAGAACCCAATATACTCTTACCAATCTCGAAAAACTTCTGCTCCTCCTTCCAGGTGATGACGTAGCGATGTGGTGGCGACGTCGATGATGAAGGCTCGTTAGCTGACTCCCCCATCCCAGATGGCGGCACGTGGTGATACTTCGAGGGAGGAGGATGATTCTGCGCGGCAGCACCGCGAGGGTCGTCTCTGAGACCGAGCGCTGATGCCCGGGCCCCCAAAAAGTCGAGAGTCTTGAGCCTCCACTTCTCGCTGAGCTGAAGAGCGGCGGCCACGGCACAGCGCGAGACTTCGCGGCTGACAACGCCGAAGCCACCACAGTCGCGTGCGGCGGCCGGCTCAAGCCCCGGCGGCGCCAGGTCTGGGTCAATACTGCAGACCTGCCGGGCGCCGCCCGAGGCGTCGGTAGCCAGGACAGTGGCGGCGACAGGCCGGCGCAAGTCCACGAAGGCCATCGCCGCCAGTGCCGCGCCCAGCCTGAGCTCGCGGCGTACAGTAGCCCAGGGCCGCCACGCCATGTCCCCGGCCTTCTCCGCGAACGAGTAGCAGGCGGCGAAGACGGACAGCAGCGGCCGCCTCAGCATGGCCGCCCAAGTATAGTGCCCCAGGAGCATGCGCATCTGCACGCCGGTGAGCTTGTCGGCCTCTGCGGCGTACTGGAAAGCTCGCCGGATCCTCCAGATCCGGCTGCGCGAGAGGGAAATCCGACCGGACCCCTTCTCGAAGATGAGCCTGGTGAACGGCTGCTCGTCCTGCGGCAGCTCCATGTCCTTCGTGACCAGGCCCGCCGCGAGGAGGGCTTCGGCGATCGCGCGACAGTCCTGCACGGTCTGCGCGCTCTGCGTGCCAATCACTGCGACTCCGTCGACATACACCGCGGCAGCGGTCTGGCCGACCAGGGAGGGAGTCGCCCGCTTGTCTGCAATGATACGGGACGGCGGGTAACCAGCACGCTGCACGCACTGCGTGACCATCTCTTGGTAAAGAAACAGTGACCAGTTCCAGCCCATGGGTAGAACGATGAGCAAGGGGGAGCATGTCAGGTCCCCGCTGATGGCGATGTCCGGCCGAAGTCGGCGAAGGGCACCGCAGTCCAGCGGAGGTAAGACGAAAACTTCCTCCATCCCGGGAGGTGCACGCATGCGGTAAAAACAAGCCTCCACGTCAACTTGAGAGAGGCACAGCTCGTCGTTCGGCTCCGAGAGTAGCCCCTTCCAGCAGCCGGCCGTAGGCAGCGCCGTGTGCGCAGGAGGCTCGAAGAGCTGGTTGACACAGCGCGTGTCAAAGATGAGCCGCAACTTCCCATCAGACTTGGGGGCGAAAAATATACCGAGAGTAGATTCACGTAGTGAGCCGAACTTCACAAGCACGGCGTCGTACAAGTCGGCGACGAAGGAGGCGTAGCTGGACTTGCTCTGCATCAGTTTCGCGTCGCAGTGAGGCTTCACGGCGGAGACCTCTGGGTTCTTCCGCAACAACCGTTGCTGCCAATCCTCCCAAAGGTTGAGCGCCTCGCCCTGCAGGATGCTGGCGCCGTCGCACTTGGCACCGGGCGAGGGCGGCGCGACGAGGTCACGCTGGAAGGCGGCGGGTTTCACCGGCATCGAAGAGTAGCCGGGCTTGCTGGCGCACAGCTCCTTGAAGGCTGCCGCGCCGGTTGTAGTAGGAGCCCCGATGCTTTGAACAGCAGCTCGAACGTGTTCAGAACCAAAACTTTGCCCTAGAGTGGGCGGGCGTTCGGGACCAGGGCCCCCGCGCCCGTGGAGGCAATTCAGCGCCTGATGCACCTCCATGCTCCACCCGTCGACGTGCCGGTGGCGGAGTAGCCGAGACCGCGCCGTTCGACAGCACGAGCCAAGACGCCCGTCGCTGCCGGGGGGCGCCTGCGGGAGCGGCACTGGCAGCAGCTCCCGAGGCGCGGGCATGGCGCTATCACTTGGCGCCGCGGCCGCCGTTATCGCGGCCGCCAGTGGGGTCTCCCTTACCCCCTTGCTGCTGAAGCCGGCGAAGCTCCGCAGCCTGACTCTCGACCTTCTTGCGAAGGGCGTCCTTCGTCTCGCCGTCGGCGCCCGTGCCATTCGCGAGCTGGCGCTCCTCCCTCAACTTCCTCTTCTCCTTCATCACCTGGCTCTCCCGGTGCAGCTCCGTAGAGATGTGCTCCACCAGGAACGGGGCCATCATGATGAGGCCCCTCGTCTCTCCGGTGCCCATGTAGAGGTGCTCGTCCTCCGCTGTCTCGTCGGCCCGGCGGGGCGCTAGGCGGTCGCGGTAGCGCCACTCCGCCATCTGCGCCCGCCGGGCCAGGAGCTCGAAGCTTACAAGCTCTCCCACGTTCACCTGATCGTATACGAGCCCGAACTCGAAGGCCCGCATGGCAACTTCGTGATCAGCCACCCCCGGGTCCGCCTGTGTGAGCCCTGTCTCGTGCAGCCACTTGGTGTTGCGGGCCCGGGGGTGGCTGTCCTGCTCCGCGATGAAGCGGACGCACCAGGCCGCCGTCCGCGGGCCCAGGAGCGGCCACCCCGGCCACGGGCTCTCCGTGACCTCCTGCACCGCGTCCCTGAACAGCTTCTTGCGGATCCCGCTGCTGTCCTTCGCCAGCGCTAGCAAGCGATCGTCGCGGACCACCTGCACCACGCCGTCCTTCGGGTCGAGGGCCCTGAGGGTGTACACGCCAGTGCCGACCACGGCGAGGGCCACGTCGTCCGAGCGCGCGAACTCGTCCACAGTGGTGTGGGGGAAGAGGCCGTCGATCTCAGACTTGTTGGGCCCGGCCGTGACGTACCAGCGCAGCGGCTTCACGTCGGGGAGCCGGTCACTCCCAGTCACTATATTCACCAAATCCGTAGGTGTCTGCGCTGCCGTCTCCGTCGGAGGAAGCGGACCCTTCTTCATCATCCTGCGCTCGGGCTGGCGCTGCGGGGACACCGCCTCCATCGCGTCCACCAGCTCGAGCGCGGTGGGCTCCCACTCGGAGCCGTACACCGGTCTCCCGCCCCGGCGGAGCCCAGACCTCAACAGCACGCTCCCGTCGTTGTCCAGAAGCTCGTACCCGCGCAGGTCCGGGGCGTCCACCAGCACTGGGTAGACGTCGAGGTCCGGGCTCAGGAGGTACCAGATCTTGCCGTCTGACTCCTGCTGAGCGCTCGCCTCTATCTCCATGATGTCGCTGAGCTCCTTCCGCGTGGCTGGGCCCACGACGATGCGGGCCTGCCAGGTCCCGCCACCTCCCCACTGCAGGTTGAGGCGGCGTCCGACCCGTAGGGCACTGCTGGACATAGCAGCACGTACACAGCACCCCCACCAGGACGCCGAAGACCCAGACCAGCACCAGGGCGGCGGGAGCCCACTGAGCGCCCAACTCCAGCACCGCGCAGTCCGTCACCTGCTGCGCGAGGCCGCTGAGCCCACCTGCAGCTCCGATGAACCCGCCGAGGTTCGGACCGGCTATGGCTCCGAACGAGGTGGCTAGGCTCTGAAGCCGGTGGAACATGTGCCGGCCGTCGAAAAAAGAGCTTGAGAGAAATGCCAGCGGACGGTGGCATTGACGGCAAACGGGATGGCAGGACACGGAAGTTAGAAAACGCCGCCATACATACATACATACATACATACATACATACATACTTACATACATACATACATACATACATACATACATACACACATACACACATACATACATACATACAACGATGCATACATACATACATACATACCTACATACATACATACATACATACATACACACATACACACACATACACACATACATACATACCTACATACCTACCTACCTACCTAACTACCTGCATACATACATACATACAGTCATTTATACATACATACATACATACATACATACATACATACATACATACATACATACATACATACATTCATGCGCACATGCATGCATGCCTCCACATACACACATGCACACATGCCTACATACATGCATGCATACACCTCCGCATACATACAAACAACTATGCATACACATACATATATGCACGTATGCATACATACAAGCACACACATAGTCATGTACATACGCATATGTATACACATACACATAGACATATACATATACATAGAAGCCTTCACCAAACGGACACCACCAAACCTAAAGCATCACACGGACTGCACGCACCGTATGGTTTGCACAACATAGCTATCCTTGTTTGGGATTGGCCCGTGATTACCACCACATGGTGCACATGGATGCGTCCTCAGTGTTTTGTTTGCGTGTGTGCGTTTGTGTGTGTGTGTGTGTGTGTTTGTGATGCTGTGGAGTGGGGATGGGGGGAGATGCCATGCCAGGCGCCCCGCCAAGCTGCAGAGAAAACAATGGGTTCAGAAGAAGGCCACCCGCAGCGAAGGATCCTCAGGGCGAGACAGTGAGGTGAGGAGGTCACGGCCAAGGATGATAACACCATGCAGCGGGGAGCCTGAAGCGAGAGCAGCAGCACAGCCCAGCAGGCGAGCGCAAGAAAGCTGACGGTTGGTCTTTTTTATATTTTTTTTTTATCCGGAACTTGTTTCAACAAGCTAATACGCAGGGTGGTAGATGAGAGCACAAAGACTACGTGCGGACAACAGGCAGACGCTCCACGTCCGCTCCCGCACTCGCGAGCGGAGATGGGGAGGGACGCTGCAGGAAGAAGGGATAGAAAAGGGCCCGAGGAGGTGAACTTGATGCTGCACATAGCGCGCACTCAATGCATGGAACTTGCTCAGTGGATGAATTCCGCCCATTTCCATCCTGGGAAGGATGGCACTGCAGGCCCACTCCAACATTTGGCATCGTCGACTTTCTCTTTTGACTTTGGCATCCACTCCAAGCTGCAGCCATAACGGCTGATGTCGCCATACTTAAACTTACAACACTTACCACTGGACCAACTGTAATCGCATTCATTCTCTGGGCTCTCCTTGCAACAACAAGCGCGATCCCACTCACCCCATCTGTTTACATGCTTCTCGTAGAACCGATTGTTCGACTCAGGATCGACCACGAGGTAATGGTTCCCGTCAAAATGCACGCCACCTTGCAACCCACCTTCAGTCCTGGTGAATCGCGAATAGAACGTCACCTTCCACCCCTGCAGCTTCCCCTGCGCATGGGTGTCTGAGTTGAACCGTGCTGCCAAATGCTTGCCGCGGGTGTTTTGAGCGATTTGATCTGACGACTGCAATTCGACATTCAAGTCTCTCAAGAACGCAGTCCACTCCACCTGCGCGTTGAGCTGCTGCATGAGACTGTCGGCCTGGGGTGACGTCTGGAAAACGTACGTCTCGTAGGCAAAGAACTTAGCCGGATGACGAGTTGCCATCAGGCTCACTGGCTCTGGGCGATCCCCACGACGGGTGGCGTTGCCGAGCACTGCCTGCACATCGCCACCCTGAATTCTATACCCTGCCGCAGCGCCGACCATCGAGGCCACCCAGGCGGTACGCAAACACATCTCGAGACAGAAGAACACCGGCAAAGAGAGGGCGATCCGCGAGCTCCGCGAGCCAGAGCGCCTTGAGCCAAAATGGCTACGGAAAGCTGACGGTTGGTCTTCAGTGGGGACGCCGATTATTCGGAAGGATCCGAACTACCAGGGGGGCCGGCCAAGCGAGAGCACTTCTCCTGTGGATCCCTGACAGGTGTCATGGAGCTTCAGCGGGAGAAACTGACCTTGGGCATACGGCGAGGAGCTTTTGCGTAGCGCATCGCGATGGCGGCCTCTGTGACACGCCATGCCTTGCAAGCTGATTGCGTGTCGTTCTGCTTCGTGGGCGGGAGGCTGAGAAAAGCTCGAACCGTTTATGATTTGGGATTCGGATGTGCTCAGCGTCGCGGTGCGCCAGAGTTGGCGGCGCGACACGCTAAGCAAACGTTCCTGACCGCAGTTCGGGATTAAGACGATGTGGCCAGAACGACAGCAACACATCTGTGGGGGTGGACCCACGAATTGACATCACCCTGTTGGGTTCCGAAAACACATGCAACGGAGTCCGATACCAGAAACAACAGAGTGAACAGTGAGCTGGTTTCAGATTAGTTCTACGGGTCCTGGGCCAGAATAACATGCTGTGGGCAGCATCCGATCTTTAAGAGCGCCAGTGGGAAAAGGCTCAACACCAGGTGATTGGACCCCCCAACGGCTTCTCTGGCCCCGAATGTCACGGCCATTTGCGCTCTTCTAGGACGATGACACACGGATAGCGAAAACTGGCACAAGGTGGGGGCGCAATTTTCAAACAAAGCGTCGCCCACATGACCTTTCGAAGGTCCGCGCGGATTTCTTGGATAAGTGGTGCTGAACCAGCGCCTGGGGCGCAGCCAAAGGGGTTCAGCACAGGTTCGTGAAATCCGCGTGAACCTCCGAACTTTCATGCTTATAGTGTCTTTTTGATCCTATTTCGGCGAGAGGGTGGGAAAATTCCTGCCTCCTTGGGCGAGAGCGGTACCCGCTTCGGGTGGACCCGAGCAGGAAGAGGATGATCTGCAATAGCCCAAACGGTATCCAGAACGGAGCCGCAAACACGACTCCTGGTCCTCCTGGTCCGACTTGAGCTCAGCGCGGGGGAAGGGGAGGAATAGACCGTCCTCCTCCAAGTAACATTTGTTCATGATGTCGACCCCCAGAAGTTCAGATCACTGCCCAGTGACCGGCTTTTCATCCTCAGCCGTTGTTTGACGGTCCTGGGCTGCGGTAAGGGGGTAAGGGCCATCAGATGCCGAAAAAAGTCCGACACCTCCGTTGTGATCCTTCCTTCGTCAACGAGAGGACCTTGACCCGCCCCCCCTGGAAGGCACCGAAGAGGACCGACATAAGAAAACGCCCTCCTCACGGGCCGGGCCTTGCACGGATGCGCCGCTGCCTGCCCTGCACCTGTCGGGCAGGCCATGGGGCAGACGGCAGCTCCACTGGAGTTGGCTACGGCAGGCTCATGTCGTGCCAACTTCGGCGTTGGTTCCTGTCACCGCGGGCGCCAGTCGACACTCGCGAACCTACCATATGCGCAAGAAGTGCCCCCAAGCATGAGCAACCTTTGGTGCGCCGCTTTCGGGGGCCGCGGGGGGCGGGGGGGGCAGCTCCAAGCGCACATGCCCGTGCTGGCAAGAGCCCTGGCAAAAGGCAATCTGCTACATGTAGCCACTGGAGGCGCAACCTGCCAGGCCCGGGCGCCGGCCCGCCGTCCGCCGCAGCCCGCAGGACCCAGACCCCCGACGTCATGATGTTTGTCCCGAGTAGGCTTGCCTAAGGGGTTCTTACTTGGTTGAAGGTTGGTGCCTCCTATTGTTACTTTACTTGTTGCTCGGAGGTTCCTCGGGTTCCTCGGGTTCCCCGCCCCTGGTGCCTCCTATTGTTACGTTGCCCGTTGCTCGGAGCTTTCTCGGGATCCCTGGGTTCCTTGGGTTCCCCGCCCCCAGTGCCTCGTATTATTAGCAATGCGGAGCAATCCAAGCAATGCCAAGCAATGGCAAACGCTGCGCCCATGCAACAGGAGCCTTTCCCCTAATTGGGGTCGCGCCGGGTTCATTTCCCAACGTTGACCCCCGGAGGTCTCGACCCGTCCCCCCAGACCGGCCTTCCATCCTGAGTTGTTTCCCGACGGCCTCGGTGCTCAGTGAGGGCCCCAAGGGGCTGAGACCGACCAGAAACCTCCTCTCAAGTTGTTGTTCCTGGCTCGAAGGGATTCTGGGGGAGGCGCTGGGATAGCGCCCGCGCCGAGCTGAGCTTTCGGTCGAGTGTGATTGAGTTTGAAGGAGGGTGGGCGCGAGCGAGTCTTGCGTAGTGTGAGTGGATCTGAATATGAGCGGCTGGGATACGCATGATCAGCAGAAGTGCGCCTGGCTACGGATAAAATGGGCTCGAGTGTGAAGCGTCTGCATTTTTTGAGGTGTGGCCGGATCTGGGTGAGGGGGTCTGGGGGGAGGCGCTGGGATGGCGCCCGCGCCGCTGAGCCGCCGGCGAGACCTCGGATGAGCCCGAGGGGCCCCCCGCGGGCTCGGCGGGGGCCGCGCCCGCTGGCGAGGCGGTGGCGGCGCCTGGCGTCGTGCGAGCCGCGGCCCCTCTCTCCTGAAGCACCCCGAAAAGGACCAGCGGTTTGCCGAGCCGAAGCCTCGGACCACGGTGAGGGATGAAGAACACTAGGATAAGGAATCCAGGGTCTGAAGAGCCGGTGGAACAACAATTGAGGCTTGGCCCTAGATACCACCGCCGCCCTCATCAAATAAGGAATCCTACAAGGTCCGAAGCCTCCTGGGCCCATTCCTTAACGAACGCCCCCCACCGTACCGAGGTGGTCGCTCGGTTCGAGGAATATCTGGCACAGGACGCCCGTCGCTGCTGACTCGCGTCCGTCGCTGTCGACTCGCTTCTCCCGCACATCCCGCACATCCCTCCTTGCCCACCTCCCTTCTGCCTCATTCCTCCTCCCCTCTTCCCTCCCTGCTCCTCTCTCCGCTCCGCCTCCTCCTCGCTCTCCCATACTCCCTCCCTCCCCCATCTCCCTCCCCCATCTCCTGCTGCCGCCTCTCCTCTCTCCCCGCTCGTCTCTCCGCTCTGGTTGTGGGGTGGCTGTCAAGACCACCTGACAGAACGCCACAGCGCCGCCAATCTTGTGTGTGTGTGTGTGTGCGTGTGCGTGTACGTGTGCGTGTGCGTGTGCGTGTGCGTGTGTGTGTGTGTGTGTGTGTGTGTGTGTGTGTGTGCGTGTGTGTGTGTGTGTGTGAGTGTGTGTGTGTGTGCGTTTGTGCGTGCGTGCGTGCGTGCGTGCGTGCGTGCGTGCGTGCGTGCGTGCGTGCGTGCGTGCGTGTGTGTGTGTGTGTGTGTGTGTGTGTGTGTGTGTGTGTGTGTGTGTGTGTGTGTGTGTGTGTGTGTGTGTGTGTGTGTGTGTGTGTGTGTGTGTGGGGGGGTCCTGACAGCGTTGAGGGTCCTTCCGGCATCAAATTTCCTCTGATGCCCTTGACAGTTTCTGGGCGGAGGTGCAGGAGGGCAGGAGGAGCAGGAAGAGAGCATCGGACTTAGCAGCACCGACTCGCACAGCAGCAATAGGGCAACAACCAGCAACACAATACAGTGTCTGACTCCACGCCGCATGCCAGCGCCACGATCACGGGGACAATGCGCCATGCAAGCGCTCGAAATAAGCAACAATACCGCGACCCCTATCACGGGCGGCGGACATATCCGTAGTCGCGCCCTCGCGGCATGGTTTACCGAGATGCGACCTAATGGATACGCGATACAGGATCGCGGTCATATGTCCATAGGATCGCGGCCGAGGAGTCCAGACCGCAAGGCAGTGGACTGCCTCTCGCTCACAGTCCCTCTGCGGCACCAGTGACGCCCACCACCATAAGAGGAACTGTAACGAAAGATAGCCTAAACGACTGCTGCACGATAGTCTCGACCGCACTCGTAACCAGGATGTGACTTCATGAGCTGAGCTCGCCCCCCGCGTCCCCACTTCCACCCTGGTCTTCAAAGGTTTCCTGGGGCTCCCTCAAACCGCCAGACACGTCCATCGCCTGCATCCTCCTGCTTCTAATCTGGCATGATTAGTATCCTCGCTGTGTTCCTCTTCCACCGTGCTGTGCAGGTCGCTCAGCGCATCCACAGCAGCAGACTCACATCGTCATCTGCCTCCCTTGCCCTCGCCTGCTCTTCGGCCATGACCTCGAGCCACACGACGCGTCTATGCACTCCTCGTATTGTCGTCGTCCAGATTCTACCTCTGCTCCTTCTCCTCATGCTGCTGACCATCTTCATCCTCGATACCCCTGCCCTGCTCACCCCCGCCCTCCGTAAAACAAGGGTCGGGTGAAAACTGGATGGGAGAAGAGCGGAAAACGGTGTCTTGGGCTCGATGGACACACCTGCGCACCGAAGGCCAGCCGGCGATGGTGTCTGACACCTCGCAGATCGTTCAACCTTGAACGATCGAGGCTTCCCGATGTCGAGAATCGTTGAATATTAGTTTGTTCTGGGCAACTGGCAATGTTCAATAACGTTGCCCTTGGTTCTTGGGTCAAAAGTCGGCTCTCCAGCGGCCGTTCGGAACGATTCTGCCACCTCCGAAGCGCTCGACGAGGCGCAGCTGCTGGAGAGAGTCCTGGGGCGAAGGAGTCTCCGGGAGGCGACGAAAACCTTCCTCGAGAGCCAGCAGCGAGCTAATGCATCGGCGATGCGGCGCGACCCTCCGACCCCATCTACTCGGACCACACCGCGGAGGCCTGGGCATCTGCATTGGGACACACACGGACATATTAGTATTATGTGTCCTGTTCGGAGGCCCCCGGTCCATCCCGAACATACAGCATAACTATATGATAGTATCTCGTTCCCCGAGCGGTGTGGCCAGAAAGCGCCCGCCACGGAGCTTACACTACATGATTTATCGGCGCGCGCGTCGCCCCTGCAGAATTAGTGTGCTG